GACAAAAATGGAGGATCCTATATATATTTGTATAATGGCTGATTAAAAGCTAAAGTAGTCGACAAAGCTCTAAAAATATTTATAATATTGTAATTTAGAATGTCTATAATAAATAAAAAATTGTGGTTATTTATATATTTTGAGGGGGGATATTCTGATTTGATTTTTATTAATATTATATCAAAATATTAAAAAATTGTGGCTTCATGAATGGCTCGTGAGCCGAGCTAGATGAGCTAGATGTGCTAATAAGCCAAGCTTGAGCTAGCCCCGACTCGACTCGTAAGCTTGTGAGCCGGCTCGTTTAAAAATACTAATATGAAATATATTTAAAAAGTATTAGAATTCAAGATTTTTTAAAACAAAGTTGTTAAAAGTATTTAAAAATTATATCATAATTTCTTATATTATGTATTTCTTTATTATTTTTCTTATAATTTATCATTATTTTTATCATTTTTTATAATAATTACTTAAATCATAATTATTTTCTCTCTTTCATAATAAATGAGCCGGCTGGTGAGCCGGCTCGAACTCATAGAATAAAGCTCGAGCTAGATCTCATACTCGATTAATTAATCAAGCTCAAGCTCAAGTCATGGGTAACTCGAGCTCAACTCGATTCGTTTACACCCCTAAGTAACAGTAGTCATCGATGAATTCTCTAATCATGAAACAAAACATGCAACATTATAAATCCTAACTACATGAATCAAACAAAGTTAATGGAAAAAAAATTGGACATCACAAAAAAAAAAAAAAAAAAAAAAACTACTACTATGATAGCCCTCATTTTTATATTAAAATGTTTATTTTCTTAAAAGAAATCATATAAAATAAATGTGTCATATAATGGAGCTATATAGAAGTCATAGATACTGCAGAACATTCATACTTGTTTGGATAAATTGTGTGAAAATGTGTGCATCTGATCTCCTCAATCGATCTCTGTGGATGCAAATGCTTAAGAAGAGATCTTTTTGAAGAACAAATTTAGTAGTCCCTTAGCCAACCAGCAAGATAATAAAGGAGGTGATAGTGATATCAACCATATGTTTAAGGCTTCGTTTGGGATGACTTTTTTATTGTTTTCTAAAACGGAGTTTTAGTACAAAAATATGTGTTGAGACAAAGGAGAGGAACTAGCCCATGTAAGCACCAAATTTATTTCAACTGATTTTGGGTGGTTGGGATATTTTCAATGAGATGGTTGGGATAGTTTCAATGAGATTATAGTTTTGACTACGTACTAAAAAAATTTGAGATGATAGAGTGTACGTTTTACTTCTCAATATTATATCAAAATTTAACATGCATAGATAAAAGTAGTAAAATTAGATCTTTTTTATGTGGAAAGCTCGAAAAGAGAAAAATCATTGGGGCTTGATTGGATGAAAAATTTACTATATATCACAAGATACAAAAATCCTTCATTCCTAACAATTGAAGAAAAAGATGGGTATTTAAAATAAGATATCGGATTTCTCTTTTGAAGGTTAATAGAAATTAAGTGTCCACTGATGGATAATTAACTCCTAACAGTATAGCTTGATTTTTTAATAGAGATTATAAAAAGCAAGTATCCATAAACAGACAAATATACCCAACAATAGAGTTAAATATTATTAAAATTCTGGAGATGATGATGATTACTAACGATGATCGTTATCGACAATGGTGGCTCTATTTATAGGCTTTTTGGGTTTAGGGTTTAGGTTATTTGAACTAGAATAAAAACACTACATTGTACGATCAATATCGATTTACTTGATCAAGAAGTATTTTTCAACATTTAAGTGCCTTAATGATGTCAAAATTGAGTGATCTTTGGCTCGTTAGATTCATCTCATCGAGCCGCTCTATTCAACTATAAGCATGTCAAATTTCGAGTTCAAATTATCATGATTTTAATTTCAAAATTTTCTAATTCAAAGAATACCTCAAGATTCATGCAGATCATACGAATTTTCTAGAGTCATATCAATTATAAATACGGATCATTTAGAGTTAATTCATTATGTGAAGCAAGTTTTTAGGCTAACAATTATTGTTAGTTTAATGCCTTATAGTTAATTGTTAGTTTAATGCCTTATAGTTAGTTTAAATTGCATGGTTTGTATGCTTTGTAACAAATAATGACTTTAATCAACTATCATCTTTTTAGATGCCCAAAATTGCAAGCCCAATGATACTTCAAATCTTGAAATTTGCACCATGAAATTGGAACATAAGGAAACTTAATAATTCCTATACATTAATGTCAACCTCTTTTTGGGATGAACCAAATTAGTCTCCCATTTATAAATTTTAGTCCCCAAATATGATAACTTCCAAAACATGCAAAATTTCATATTTGTCCCTCCAAAGAACATTGATCATTTCAAAGGTTTATTGCATGTTGATTTTAATATAATCAATTGAGCTATAGAAGAAATCTCTTTTGGTAGATTAAACAAAAAAATATTGGGAGTTTCTAATGATAATCAAAAAAATTTTGTTATAAATGAAAAAGATTAAAGTTTTTTCTAAGCTACTAGATCCTGTGATTAAATTTTTGACCGATATATAATCTTAAAAAAGATAAAACTTATTTTATATATTACTTTTTTAAAGCAATCATTCATGGTCAAGTTCTTACATTAGATGTCCCCAAGCAAAGGATAGAAAAAACTTCAAATCATTTGCTTGGGAGCTTTAGCAAAGTTTGGTGCTCTCTATAGAATTTGAAGAATAATCTTTGTATGATGGATGAATTTGAGTACTCTCCATATACTTAGTTATATTCAATAGCATCCATATACATTATAAAGTTAGGTAGTTTTTATGCTTTCTTAGGATTCATGTGCTCAGTGCTCATGCATTATTAAATCTTCGAGTTTTTAGTGAAGATTAATTTTAATAAATAGCGATATTAATCACTCACCTCCTCTTCATGGTGGTTCATACTTCAATGAGATCATAGAGAGACTTTTAATGAAAGTGTTGAAATAATATTTGAACTCTAATTTTTCATTCCTCCATAAGAACTCCAAGGACCCTTTAGTTAAAAAGATATCATGTAGTTTAGCCCTTTCAAGAAGTTATAATGAGGAAATATGATGCCCCTTGGAGCTCACTCATCAATGGGCCCATCAAAAGCCTTATTTACTTAATTGACCTCTTGAAGTCCATTCAATGATAGGCCTCAAGGTTTTTTTAGTAGTATACATTTGCCTTTGTATCCTTTTGTGCCATACATTGATGCATCCTCCTTATGTGAAACTTTTCAGTTGAGGAAATTAGGTTTTGTTTGTGACGGCTTTTTTACTAATTCTTAAATCAACTTTTTAACACAAATATTAAAGTATTTGTACTAAAAAACTGCTTTAAGAAACAATAAATAAGCTATCACAAATGAAACGTAAATCTGCTTACCTGTCCTTCTCGAAAAAAAAATTATACAAGAAGACCAGAACAAAATTTAAAAATAAAATTTAAAATCTTGTTCAGTAGAAACAAGCAATCCCAATTTACAGGACATCAAAACTCCTGAGCACAAAAATTGAGGTGGTGGATACTCTTTGGACACAAGTATGAATCTATTTAGAATGATTGTAGATTTTTGTGTGAAGATAGTTATAAAATTATTATGATTTTTTTTTGAAAGCTCCTGCTAAAAGTAACTTTCTAATACATAAATTTCTAAAAAACAGAGCGAAAGGAGCAGCCAAAAAAATTGTGATTTTTTGTCTGAATAAAGAAACAATAATAAAGTTGTTCCAAACAGACCTTAAATTTGAGCCGCTCAACCGCAAAAACCAAAATATGTAGTTTTTAATTCAAAAAAACAATGCATCGAACCTTTTCACTAACTGAGCTATCTATTTCATATTATATTGTAGTGGTGTAATTATGGAAGTGATCAGTCACATGTCAAACTTTATGAAACAAACAATCTTATCAAAATATGGTTTACAAAAGAGATCATGCTGACTTACAATGACATGATTAAAGTTTCGTTTGGAATAATTTTCCTGCTGCTTCTTAAAGTAGTTTTTTAATACAAAACTAATTTTTTTAACTAAAAAATTGTTTTAAGAAGCAATAAGAAAGACGTCTCAAACGAACCATAAGAACAACTCTTTCACAAACCACCAAAGAACACAAATATTTAAAAAAAAAAAACCAAAGAACACAATTATTTCTTTCCAGAAAGCAACAAAAAGCATACAAGCTCCTTCTGATTTCTCGTCATCAATTTAATGATGATTTTCTTATTTATTTATTTTATTTTTATGAACAAACTCATCAATCTAACCTCCTTAGCAAGTACTCCACTTGGACTTTCTTGGTAAGCGGCATGATCCACTTTTCATAAAGCTCAGCAACCAAACTAGGCTTGATTTTAAATTCTGGTTGGTGTTTCCTGTCACTAGTAGTACCAACGGTCACCTCCTGCCCAAAAAGTTTGGCCTTCGTTTCTACCCTCTCTTTGACTACATTCTCGACCGATTCGTATGTCAACATATTCAAAATTTTATCTCCATCCTGAAGCGTATGGTTAGAAGTTATCAGAAGGTGAATTTCCAGTAAATGCAAGTTTGAAATAGGATTTATTATTCTTTGTGGAGTGCGGAGGGCATCCGGAGATCAATAAAAATGCGCAACGTCACCTCATTGCTGGGTACCCAGCTCGGTACATGTACTCGGTACCATTGGGTACCGCTGGGTACCCAGTGCTTAACCGGACGGTTCTCCCGTCCGGTGTCCGTACAGAATAAAGCGTTTTGAAAGAGAGGCTGTTTTCATGAATGCAACCTCGCCATTGCAACCAACCAAATATGAAAAAAATAAACTATCTAAAATCAAACCTGGGCTTTTATGGCAGTTCGGTACCGATCAGGGTTCTCCAGAAACTTGGCCTCAGCAACAAACTTTCCATAATGGATTCTCTTTGATAATGACTGCACACAAATGGAAGCAAGAAAATGAGTTAAGGTGTCGAGCTTCTTAAGAGGAAAGACACTTATGAGAACTACCACATAGGTCCATAAATTAATAAAAACTCGACCAAAAAACTTTATTCCTTAGGCCTTCTCCAACCGAACTCCAAACGCATGAATGGCGTCGCTCATGAGCTCCAGCCGAACGGCAAAACTTCCGATATTTGGTTGTGGCAATACTGGCGTTGCACTATTCACCTGTGTTATTTTTCTGTCTCTACCGGATTTGTCGAAGAAACGTGCGAAGGAGAAAGACGGTTACCTGGGCGCAAAATGGAGTTCGATTGGAGAAAAATCATGCCATTTTTTTGTTACACTGCATTTTGGAGTGAAAAATGAGATTTTCGGTTGGAGATGCCCTTCCAACAAGGTCGAACAAAAAAGAAAATACACATGGAATAGTCAACTACATGCATGAGATTCTTGCAAGGTCATTCTCTAGATAAAAAAACTCTAAATGAGAAAGCTAAATGCAGCTTTATTCAATTGCTTCTCCTGGAAGCCAACACATGAATTATTGCTGCATTAACTAGCTTGGCATTCAATAAAATTGGAAGATCGATGAGGAGTCCCCTTGGCATTCAAGAAAAAGGGGGATCCAAGGCCTTGTTGATCTGAAACAGTATTCCTTACAAAGGAATAACCATTCTCTAATGTTTGGTTTCTGTAGTAGGACTCAACATAAAGGAATTACAGAGAAAAATTTCTGTAGTAGGACTCAACATAAAGGAATTACAGAGAAAAAAACACAGGTTTGAATGTGAAATCTATTCTAGCCGTTCGACTGTCAATTGGAGAGGTGTGCATGTTGGTGATACTAGCAGGGTTTACAAACAAATCCAAAATCCATATATGTTGATGATAATTTTACCTGCAAGCAAATTGTGTCACAAACAGAACTTGATCCACAATTTCCATCATTTCCACTTTTTACTAATCTGGGAAGTAGATCGTTGAAGTACATTTGCCATATTATCTTGTTTATATTTATAGAATCTGCAGCATGATGCAACACCTACATGGGGAATTAAATAGGACATCAGAATTATAGGCTCATTAAAAAAATTAAATCAATACTTGTACAAGGGATGAAAGTCGAGTGAAGCAAGTAAAATCAACCGTGCCTCTTATGATTAATAAATATCAAGGACATATAAAGAACAACAAAAACATTCGACAACTTTACCAATCCAAAATATCTTGTTAAGTTGAATTATGATGGACTAATTAAGTTATTTATTATGGTGAGACTCAATTTTATAAAAAGAACAAAAGAAACTCCCAATGCTTGCAAGCCAAACGAGTAATTCCTGTCTGTATTCAAAGGCAATCCCTTGCACAGAAATGAATGAACGAAGATCAGTGCTTCTGAGATCAGATAATTGGCACATATCTAACATGCTTTAATGCATTGCAGAGATGAAAAACCGTAAACGATAAAGAGATAAGATTGGTACTCTGATGCTTTCATTGGCTTTCATCTTCTATATATTCCATTGTTATTGTTATCATTGTTATCGTTAGTTTCAATGTTCTTTAACTTCACCGCCTACTTGAATAGTGTGCTACATCCCATTGAGCGTATATTTTATAGCTGGACATTTTAAGAGTACCATTACCAAGGTGAATAAACAAACAGATTTACAGACTCTGCACTTATTAACCAACTTTCAATCTTAGGAAATAAAATATGTTTTCATGAATAAATACAACACCTAGCACCTTAGAATACAGATTTAGAACTGCCACCATACATCAGAGAAATGGGAGAACATAAAGAATCAATGTGAAATATTATTCCAAAAGAGAAGTTCTCAATAGAAACTACTCATAGTTCAACATTAAGATATTTCATAAGAGATTAATAAACTACAAAAAAAAAAAAAATTGAATATCATGTTATAAGAAATGATGGCGTGACATGTGAAATACAAATATCAATCAGAGCAAGATGATTATCTTTTTCAAAAGTTTATGCTATATTCCACTTAACAATATACTAGAATCCAGACTTATATGCCAAAAGAAGAAAAAACTTGCACCATCCAACCATCAGTCATTTATGAAAAAGAAAAAAGGGTAGAAGAGGAATAAAAGAAAAAAATAAAAATAATGGTAGCAAAATTTCCTAAATAAAAAAAGTGCTTGTGCAATTGTTTCCCAAGCAAAGTTGTCTCTTAGGTACAAGAAAAAGGCTTTTTCCTAAATTGAATCACCCTCAATGGTGTAAGGCGCCAAGATGACTCAGACAATTCCTCTGGAAAGAAAGTCAATGTTTTATCACATTATGAATTTTGCTAAAGATCTAAAAATTAAGCCAATGTCACCAAGTCTAGCATCAATCTGATAATGGCATATATCCCCTAGAAGAAAAATGTTATTATGTGTACTTCAATGTAAAAGTTTGAATTAAGAAATGTGAAATTTTATGGCAATGAAAATAAATTCAAAGATATAGGAATAAAGATAAACCTTATTGTGAAAGATTAATTACCTATGTGTTACCAAAGAAGAATGATTTATAAATTTCATAACTAAAACAATGGGCATGCTTTCTTCTAATGACATTGCTCAACAAATAGACAACCACCAGTAAGCATAAAAACTTCTAGAGCATCATCATGTCACATAATAAATTTTATCAAACACTTGGGAACTTGAATAGTCAATAAAACAAAGATGATCGTGCTATTTGAAGAGTCTTCATTTAATTTCCATTAAGACATTTCTTAGATGCATCTTGGGACAGCAATTGCATATGTTAGACAATTACATATGCAAACTATACCCACTATGATCACAATCACCATTCGACTTATCCCAATAATTTTGGGATCATCACCATTAATCCTCATTTTTCATTTGTTAAAGCTAAGTGTTGTCTGAGCTATTAGCATATTATTCACAGATAATTTTGAATAACTTTTATCCAAGTAACCTTTAAGTCTACTTCCTGCCATTTTTCTTTCTCATTCTTAAGTACACTTCCAAACAACTTATCTTCACTAGATGTCGATCTAAAATTTTCTCTAATATAATCATTCGTTATTTATCCTTTCTAGTTCTGCTACACGTCCATCATAATTTTCTCATTTCTACTAAGATATCAATGGCATTTGTATAGTTCAACATTCGGATCCATATAACATTATATATCTAATTCTTGTTTTATAATATTTTCTTTTAAGCATCCATGATATTTGCTCATCACAAAATTCCCAGGGACAATGGTTCCTTTTATTTGATCAGACCAGAACTCTCATGACATAAAAATATGATTTACTTTAATTAATCAATCCATTTGATTTAGCATCTATATTAAGAATGAAATTATTCATTCATTGCTTATAGATTAGATGCATGATGTATAACTGTTAAATCAACTCCAATAATCATTAGAAAAAACTAATCATACAAGAAGAAAATGAAACTAAACAATGCACAATCGATTCAAATGACCTTTTTGTATCATCCAATAAAAAAGTAACGAGTAATTAATGGAGAAAAGGAAGATCCTCAGTTGACTATAAGAAAACAGCCACTTAAGCCAATATAAAACTCCAATTTTGTGCGGAAAAAAAACCATTCAATAAGAATGATAAAAACAAGTCTAATTGATTTCTAGTTTCTTTACAATTTATTATACCTTTGGATATTGCATAGGAGGAAGCATTGGCTCAGACAAATCCTCTGGAAAGAAAGGATGCTCATCAGGGCTCTTGTATCTTCCAACCTAGATTGCAAGAGAAAATGAAATATTGGGTGAAGTGACACTTTCACACAACGTTTGGATTCAAAGAGGAGGAAATATTGGGTTAAGAGGAGCTTTCACAAAACATCAACATTTTGAATAAAATTATCATCTACCTTCGCATGAAGCCTTTCTGTTTCTTTGACCATATACTCAACTAAAGAACCATGAAATCCATTCATTGAGAACACACTACGATCATATGTATCAGCATTATAGCAATACTTTGCACGTTCCAAAAGGGCAAATATTATGCTATCCTCTTGCCTTATTAAAGCAAGCCTAATACTTTCCAAGGTTAACATTTGGCTGACATCCACCCTCTCCCTGATAAGCATTAGAAATAAAAAACACATATCATCCTTTGAAAGCCTTAAAAAATAAAAAATAGTATTTATATATTTAAAATGCATGAAATTGACTTAAACAAATAAAATATCATATTGGTTATAGGCTTAGTTAGAAAACCAAATGGCTAACATGTATTCATATTCTGAGCAGCATGCATAAAATATAACCTAGGTTTAAATTTACTGGATGCTATCATTCAACAAAAATGAAAAGAGATGAGGTTCATCTTCGATTTTCTTTCACAAGATTTGTCATGTTTCTCCCATTTTACCAATGTTCTCAAAAGCGAACCATACAGAGATCATATATAGCATCACAAACTTTTATAGGATCATAATAAATTAGTACTCATCATCGTCATCATCAATCTAATCCCAACTATCTGGGATCAGATTTATAAATCACTCCCCTAAATTTCATTCCATTAGCATTGCATGAGTAATTAACTCTATTTTTGCATGTATTTTGCATAACTTCTAGACATTTTCCTTCAAAATTTAAGTGAACAGTTGAAACGATGAAGATAAGTTTAGAAGATAAGAGACTTAAAATTAATAAAAAAGAATAAGTATGAACTCTTTGATTACACAAATACTTCCAAGTCATTAATGCATCATATTGCATCAACGTAAAAAATATTTTTAAAAAATATAAACCACATTTCTAATTTCCCATGAGTTACTCAGTGAATACTTCAAGACGTGCTTTTCTTTGCTTATTCTTTGTTTTACTAATCTTAAGCCTCTTATAAATTTGTCTTCAATGATTAAACTGTTCACTTAGTTCATATGAGATGTCACCGAATTAGAATTATGTAAGTGCTTGAGTTCAAAAATATTTAATATTTAAGCTTTCAAAAAATACACAAAGATACAAATTTAATGCTAATCCTCATGTTTGATGTAATCTCACAATGATTGAAACACTTTTAATACCACAACTACTTCTAATCAAATCATTAGTGCATCATACTGAATCAAAGAAAAAAAAACACTAAATCAATTTTCTAATTTTCAAGACTAAGGAAAAATAAAAAGAACAATTGCTTGATTTTTCCTTTAATATTTACTTTCTTTGAAGGAGGTGGGGTGTTGACAAACCTAATAATGGTAGCTTGATTAATTAATGCAACTAAAAACTACTTAGCCTAATTAATCCAGATTAAATCGGCTCTCTGAGATAGTGCTAGAGAGGAACATTATGAAGGGGCTTAAATCGAAAATACGTGCAGTAGTTAGGGTGATTAGGCCAAGAGACCTGGGGGAGGTCATAGAGCTAGCACAGTTGGTGGAGGATTAGAAGCAGGTGGAGAGAGGGGTTAGGGAAAGCAATTCGGGGGGATCGTACAAGATAACCACCACCTTCTTAGCTCCCAAAATGCCAGCGCCAAGGAGTCTGAAGGAAGTGTCCAAGGAGAGAGCTGGAGGAGGGGGAAATTGGAAAATTTTTAAAATGCTGACTGAGAAGGAGATACAGAAGAAGAGGGCAAAGGGGTTGTGTTTTAGATGTGATTAGAAGTACATGTCGGGGCATAGGTGTAAGGACCGAACTCATTAGGTTCTCACCGTCTGTGCTGACGAGGAAGTTGAAGATGGAGGTGGGAGTAGGTTAGTTATGGAGGAAGAGGAAAAGTTACATCTTGATGTGGCAGAAGTATCCCTAAACTCAGTGATGGGATTCACTCTGAATTACACTACGAAAGTGAAGGAAGAGATAGCTGATAGAGAGGTGATAATGTTGATAGATAATGGGGAAACCCATAATTTCATCTCCACCCAGATTGTTGATCTGTTGGGGGTGAAATTAGTGGACACATGAGGCTATGAAGTAATGATGGGCACGAGAAAGGTGGAAATGGATAGAGGAATTTCTAGGGGAGTAGTGTTGATGATTCAGGGGATCCAGGTGATGGAGGACTTTTTTTCCCTTGGAGTTTGGGAGTACTGATGTCATCCTAGGGTTGAAGTAGTTGCAAACCTTGGGAGAGACCAAGGTCAATTGGGGAGCACTGAGGATGGAACTAGTGGTAGGAGGAAGGAGGATGGTAATTTAGGGCGATGTAGGGCTGTCCAGGGACAGAGTATCTCTCAAATCCATGATCATAACCATATAGAAGGTGGGAGGTGGATATTTGGTGGAATTGCAACTCTTAGAGAGGGTCAATTTGAGGGGAGAGGAAGACATTCCTCTGGTAGTACAACTACTCATACAACAGTTCAATGAGGTGTTCTATCTACCTCAAGGTTTACCACCACCCAGATAGCAGGAGCATGCAATCATTTTGAAGGAGTGGGTGTCACCGATTAGTGTACGACCCTATCCCTATCCCCAAATTCAGAATGATGAGATTGAGAAACTGATTATGGAGATGTTGGAAGTGGGGATCATCAAACCAAGTGTGAGTCCTTTCTCTAGACCAGTCTTACTGGTCAAGAAGAAGGATGGGAACTGAAGGTTTTGTGTGAATTACTGGGCTTTAAATAAGGAGACTGTGCCGAATAAGTTCCTCATCCCTGTGATCGATGAACTACTAGATGAGTTGTATGGAGTAGTAGTGTTTTCTAAAATGAACCTATTAGTGTACAGCCCTACTATCTGCTTGTGTAGAGTGTAAAGGCCTATGAACGTTTTGTCCTACGGGATAGTGCGATCGTACTATTTGCATTTCGACCTCCGCGAGCAGAATCCTTTCGGAGACCCACAAATGGCAGTATTTTCCTAGTTATTGTCTAATTAATCAATAATTCCCAAAATAATTATTAATCATTTATCAAAGTCAAATAAAATAGTGATAGTCCATTTAAACATTACTAGCCTTATATGCGCAATTAAATATACATAGTTGGAACTAGCCGAATCATATCAAACAAGTCTAATTAGCCCAATTAGTTAATAAATCCAAAATTAACTACTATTTACTTTTTTTCTATAACAACTATTATTTACATTAATTCAACTATTAAATCCAAAGCCAAATCTGATTATTTAATCCCTTAATTTCTTAATTAGTAACCAGATAGCTTTCAAGAGTTAAAATATTAAGAACCAAATAGTTTTGAGAATCAAAACTATTGGATTCGTAAATTCAAATTGCCTCAATATATACAAAGAACTCAAATAAAAACGGCAAGCAAAACAAACATTTCACCAAGCATGGCATTTTTTCCTCCTTGCTGATGAAAGAATTAAAATCATGTCTAAAACGAAATATATACACTTCATAGATTTTTCCTAAATTCCTAGACCATGATCAAATTAACCTCGATCATCTCAGCCAAACAAAGTTTTCACAATGAGAAGCCAATTTCATTACCTTCCATAAAGGAAAAGCCCATAAAACAGACTGGAGCTATAGAGCATCATACTCAGAAATCAAAACAGAGAAATAAACAAAAAAAAAAATCATAAATTAAACCGACAAGCAAAATATCCAATAATAAAACACAAAAAATAAGGATAAAGTTATCCAAGATGCAGGGCTCTCACATACCTCGAACTGGCAAGCGCTCTTTGGATTGAAAGGAGCTTCTTCTCCGGCGATGCCAGAAGAACCGGCCCAAATAGGGCCTTTTTCGGCGTCGGAACCGAAAAGGGAGCGGTGGCACTCCGACCTCCGATTGCCAACGGCTTGGCAAACCAAGCAGGCGCATTCAAAAGCTTCAGATCCATGGCAGACTACGGAGACCTTCCGAGAAAGAAAGTAGGTGAAAGAGTAACAAGAAACGCTTCAAACCCGCTTGCACGGAAACGAAGAAATAGACGACTTATGTAGACAGGCCATCAAATAGAAAGCAACCGGTAGCCTCTGCGGTAGGTATGAGTCGACGGTATCGAAGGGACCCGAGGAAAGTGGAGCGGATGAAAAATTAGGCAGTGCAAACGGTAAGGATTGTAGGGATTCGAATCATTACAGCGAGAGAAAAAAAAAAAAAATTTTTTGAGAAAATTTGAGAGAATCCGAATTTGTTATTTTTTTATACAGCGAATCCAATTGATTGGACGTATTTATGGCTCTTTTTTTATTGATTTTGGCGATCGGTTAGGAGGACATTGAGGAGAGCGGTAGGTAGGGATTTTGCAGGGTTGGCCGTGCTACAGGATTCAGACAATTGGTTGGTGAGCCGTGAATTAGTCAAAAATGGGACCTTTCCCAAAAAAAAAAAAAGGGAACTCTGATGACACATGAAAAAAAAAATATATTTTTTTAATAATGATAATATTTTTAAAATTTTATTTATTACTTTAATAAAATTAATCACAATAACTCAAAAAAGTATTATATACTAAATTAGTAAATTGGAATAATTATGATATATAATTATCATAAATTCATAACAAATGTGGAGATCACAATTAAAAATATATGTAATGCATACTAAAAGATTGCAAACTATATAATTTTTCTATACTAAGATTTAGCCAATTATTATGTGGTTGTTTGGATGGAGAACAAGTAAATGCAAAGTATTATGAATGCTTTATTTTTTTTACTTAGTGTTTGATTGGACATTCAGTAAAATAAAACAAATTTTCATGATAAAAAAAATTCTCCACGTTAGTTCATTTTGGGGGTAAATTAAACCTGCTCGATTCGAGAGAAAAAGGAATTCTGTGGGGAGATAACGAGCAGCACAATAAATACACATTCGTCTCCTTCTCCTGCTTCGCGTGAGGTAGAGTTCGGTCCGACCCAAGATCACATGCGAGAAGCCACTCGGTCTTTATAGATGTCGCATGCAGAAAGACCTGCTCCGTTCGATTCCTCCACATGCACGCACGAGCAGCATATTTCGATTCTGTCGAGTTGTTCGGCTAGGGATATGCAGGAGACTCGCCAGATGGATCACACGCACACGGAGTTACCGCTCAGTCACCTAGCCTCTGCTCTCAATCTTCTAGCTAGGGATACGCAGGAGGCTCGCCTTTCAACTTCTCACACAAGCGTCAACTCTGTCGGATCGTCCAAATTTTGCTTTGCATCTTCGCAATTTAGTTGGACTTAGCTGTTCAACTTTGATTGTTTGTTTGCGTTGTTATTTCGACAACTTCACCATTCGAATTCGAATGCTCATCTAGAATTTGTTGTTCTTTCAACGATGCAACTTCCTTCGATGACATTCCTTTTCTTTCCGGTTGGAAGCGGCAACACATTGATTCGAAGCATGAGATGAATAGACATATTTTGAAAAGAAATAGACAAATTTTACTTTAATTTTGCATACACCCAAACAATCAAACAAATATAGTTATCCTGCATTTACTTTACATACAACCAACCGGCCTCAAAGTATTTACTTTACACTGCATTGTATTTACTTCGCATTGCATACACTTCACAACCAACCAAACAACCCATGTATAAGAAGGATTGTTTTTTTAGGCAATTTGAGCGATTGCGCTTGAATCACTGGCAAAAAACTATTCTTCAACCAATGAGCCACGACTCAATCCGCTAATAAGGATCATTGTGTGTTAAAATATTCATTTTTCTGAAAAGATTTATCATTTTACTATTATATGAATGTCTCGCGCATAAATATAAGAGTTATAGAATACATACGACACATAAAAATTTTCATGTGAAGATTTGGAATCGAAAAAATCGCGAGTCTAGCCCAATTCAATAGGATACAAGACAATTATTTTTCTTTGGAAACTACCATGAAGGTTGAGTCCACATTAAAGGAGTCAACAATGACCTCATGGAGTCATGGTCAATATTAGGAATGTTTGTTGGGTTCTAAACAAAGATTTATTGCTTCAAGCATAAGAAATTGCCATTCTAATGAAGTGGTGAGGGACTCAAGCCACTTCATTTTATACAATAATGAATTTCTCTAACAATCCAAAATTGGTAGTTTTTTTATAAATCCAATTGTTTTCTCAATTGTCTAATTTTATCTGTTAAACCAATCAAGCCATAAAATTCAGATTAAAGGGTAAAGAAGAAAAAAAATCATGTTAGTGGGTCGGGTCGGGTTTACATAGAAAATAATCCAACCTACTACCCGACCACCCAAGCATGATCTACTTACTAACTAAAGCTTCGTTTGGGACAGCTTTTTTAGTGCTTCTTAAAGCAGTTTTTTAAAACAAAAATTTTAATTTTTGTACTAGAAAGTTATTTTAAGAAGCAATAAGAAAACCGTCCCAAACGAAGTCTAAGGCTTCATTTAGGACGGCTTTCTTACTACTTCATAAAGTAACTTTCTAGTGCAAAAATTAAAAAATTTATACTATAAAGCTGTTTTAAAAAGCAGTAAGAAGACTTCGTTTGGGACAACTTTCTTACTACTTCATAAAGTAACATTTTAATATAAAAATTTTTAGTTCAAAAAAATTTTAAACTAAAAAAATTGATTTAAAAAGCAATAAAAAATTGTCCCAAACAAAATTTAAGTTAAAAAACAAATTTATAAGATATCAGTGTGTTTGTGAGAAAGTGAATTAGTATTTTTAGATTTGTCATATAATTTATGCAGAAGTCTTATTCAAAGAATATTTGTGTAAATAAATTTTTTCCAAGTCTGAAACGTGAAATAAAATTTCCACACAGGGAGCCAAAATTTTATAAGCAAACTTGTAAATAAACCCTCATAATTTTTTAAATGACACACAAAAGTTTCAAATATGTTAAAAAAGACAAAAAAACTTACCTTAAACATTCATCATCTTCACACATGTTAGACCAGTCACAGCGCACAAAAAAAGATCTCAGCAAATAGGCCCAATTTATTGGAAGATTTGCATAAAGCTCCAATAATTCCAATTTTTTATTCAAAATTTTTAATGATTACAATAAAATTAGTAATTTATTCCCTTTTTTAAAAAAGACGATAATTGCCAAACATTTTAAAAGCCAAGAGCAGCATTGTTAAGTTCTAAGTGCTGAAAGTACTAAAATTTATAATATAATATAACAAATTTTAATAGCAGACCCTAACAACAATACCATAACTTACATTACAAATAAAATTTCCAGCACTTAAAGGAGATCATTAGTCACTAATGTGAGGCATTACTCTAACAAAATTAAGATTAAGTTTAAACTAACACTTAACCTTAATCCCTTTTTCATGCATGCATAAATTTGCTTTAGTCATGATATTTGAGAATAATATGAGAGAGAGAGAGAAAGAGAGAGAGAGTTGAGGCATTAAAACCAAAGGACATGGAAAGGGAAAGGAGGGTCAATATTCAGCTGATTGGTAAAAGATCAACCAGAAAAATGTATGCCTAAAGCAGATTAAGGCTTCATTTTGGGGCGGCTTTCTTACTACTTTTTAAAGCAACTTATGGTACAAAAATTTTAATTTTTGTACTAAAAAGCTGCTTTAAGAAGCAATAAGAAAGCCGTCCCAAACAAAGCCTAAATCAATGATTTGGTCAAGTGTTTGTGAATTTAGGTTTCATTTGGGACAATTTTTTTAATGTTTTATAAAATTATTGCAGAAAAAATAATTTGTTAAAACAGTTGTAGAAAATAGTTTTCTGATAAATTTAAAAAGAAAAACATAAAAATAACGGTAAAATAAAAATTATGGTTACAATCTAAAAAATAAAGTATTAAAAAAATTGTCCCAAATAAAGCCTTAACGTAGAACATAGTAAATGACCAAAATAGCATGTTTCATAGCAGGAGGAGCAAGGTGTTTGGCTTGATTAGGGTTAGAACTGAAGCATCAAGGAAAACAGAACCTTTGCATGCCATAAAAAAAATTTTTTGATCAAAATGGCAATAAGAGCTCAAGGAGGAACTACCGTTGAGGTTTTTAGAATCTCATACATTGAGATTATGTTTTCTATGAGTAACAGTATGATAATCACCCATTCCAGAAGATCAGATTTTTTATTTTGAAGAACTTCCTGAAGGAAATGTATGTTGTGCTGCAAGGACCAAAACAAATGAAATTTGTTAAGGACGATTAAAACAAAAAGGATAAAATTTCTTTAAAAAAAGAGTTTATTGATTCCAGTACTAGAAGAAGTAGCTGTGAGAAACAGAAAATACTAAAAGGCTGTAGAAAACATTTACCTCCACAAATTTTAGTTTGAAGTTAAGGCTCCCAAAACGTTGAGCGAGTTCATACTCTTCACGAAGGTACTCCAATATCAGGGCATAGTTCGAATTCTTCCAAGCAATCTCAGATCTAATTATGACAAAGACAAAGAAAGCTAACGCAAAGTTAGTTCCTGCTAAAGTTTTTGATACGAAATTATCAACTAAGAAGCTTTTCAAATCAATTAACAGGTTTGTTTGTTAAGTATACAAGGTCAGGGTTGATAAGAAGAATTGAACTAAGAAATTGGAAAATGCAAGCAATGCTGAATTAAAAGAGATTAGCGTAACTAAATCATCTATATAAATATTGATAATTTTTAGTTATGATAGCCATATAAAACTAGAAACCGAGAGTTTAAGCAAAGAATGGCCTGCCATATACAGAAACGATAAAAGATAATGTAATACTTTGTGGCGTGAAATGAGTTTTAGAACTCTTTTATAAAAACTGTTAAGGAATAAGAAAGTTTACAGCCGGGCCAATTTGGATTTGGATGATTGAATGGAATGGTGGAATACATCAAGAGCGCAGAAGAAATTCTTAAGAAAAGAATCATCTATCATCTTCCGAGCATTAATGGACGGTAAATTATTGCGTTCATGCAAAAGAAAAAAGCAAACAAATCCTGCATGTAGTGTCATTTCATAACAAAAAGACATCAGTAGTTATGATATGGTTCTACAAAGGGGCAGATCCAGCCTTAATTTTTAGGGGAGCAAAAAATGTAGAGATTTTTTTTTGTCTTGAAGTTGGCTCGACCCCAATTTGTTCATATCCTTAATCATTGTACGCTTCGCAGATATGTTGAGGGTCCAAGGGGGCAGCGCCCTCTGACAGGATTCGACCTTAAAAAACTTCTCTTTTTTATATAGCCAACCCTTAGTATAGAGGCTTATATATTGCCTTGTTTATTGTTCAGTGAATATTTCAAGTTTGGACCTCCTTCAGAAGGAAAAGAAAGAAAGAAATAGTATTATATGCTCCAGTAAGCCAGCATGAAAACATTTTTGTGCACGTTATAAATTTAATAAACAGAGTCAGAAATCTAAAAACATAATACTTCTATTACGTGAAATAATGTATGTTCAACAATAAACTAGTGTACTTCATGGCAACATGAGTAGAGGACAAAAAAATATTTTTTTAATAATAACTACATCTCATAACAACGTGGTACGAAAAGTTACCTATCAAATAAACCAAGCTTTATAATTACATCAGCTAAGTTTGAGTTTGCTTTTCCCACCAGTTGAAAAAGCTTCTTTCTTTTCATGGTAAAGGTTCCAGTCTTTTCCATACCACGATTGATGTCTGTAAATTCTTCAACCATATCATCAACCTATGAAAATAATAATGGAATAGCATAAATAACCATTAGATATTATCATGTAAAAGGCTCCATCTCCAATAGCTTTAAATTTTTTTCTTTCTTTAAGATACAGATGAACTAATTAATTTCTGAAGATCTGCATCTCAGTTGCAGGGTTCATAAGAACTGCAGTTAATCCTGCTAAATTATGCAGATATTACTTCTCTTCCATAGCCTGTCATGGCTAAATTTTAGTTCATCTATTTCTGGAAATGAAAATGCATATAAAAAATAAAACTAGAACGGTACAACTTAGAATCAATCAACTATGCGTATTGGCAATTAAACCCAGTGCTCCATTATACGATAGATTCAAACTTCCTTCAATTAAGGAAAAGTAATAAGAAACCAAAACAAACTACTTTATTTCCTTCCGTAGCTACCTTGTTTTTTCTCCTTCGTTTTTTTCAAGCTCCCATTAAACCTCGCATAACTAAAATTAATATCCTTCTCGAATTCCTATATTTGCCTTCCTCCTCGGATTTCCCATTTACTATGAGCTAAAGAAATTTAAACTTTAGCCTTCCCATGATCTCTGATAAACATGTTCATTCCAACTTGAATGTTAATGGAAATCGGAAGAAAAAAATGGATTTCCTTCCAAATAGGTTTGTCTTACCTAGTAATCCGCCTGCCTCTTTTTTAGTCCTTTTCCTCTTACTTGGAACTTTAGGAGTGACGAGAAAATAGTAAAAAAACTATCAAAAACCTACAAATGCCCTCTTACTTGGAACTAAATGTAGTTATTTCAAAATAGAGTAATATGAAGTTGCAAATTCATAAAGATGTATGCTGAACTAGAGATTTATTTATCAATCCTTATGATCATCTGCAACATTATCATCATCACAAGAAAAATGAATTTTAGCATCACCATCTTCATCCACATGAGAGAATCTTCCACATCAATTTCAACTTCTTCATCAAATAATCTGATGAGCAGAGCAAAACTATGCACACGCCACTTTTTTCCCATGAAAGAATTTCAAATATCATATCTCCTTTCATAAGCACCACTTAGCCATAACCACATCCCTCAAGTTTGATCTGATTCAACAAGCACAATATCTTCACATCCCCTAAGTTTGACCTTATTCAACAAGCAAAAACTATATCTTCAATAAACTAATCCAATTTCCTAGACAAGCAATTAATTGCATAATCAATGACATCTAAACAAATCGAATTTACTTTAGCAGTTTTTTAGGCATAATATTTTATTCTAATTATCCATTTTACGTCATTAACAACTATGATGTAAAGTCGGAGAGGAGGTTATCGAAAGAGTGTGAAGTTGTGTCAGTTTGTGTGTAGTGGGGAAAGGATGTAGATAGTTAATATTGCATTCACCCGTATGTATAAGCCTGTCAAGGCACAGTTAGCCCATGCACTATGCAAATATGACTTTGTAGGCTCCATGCATAATACATGACCCAATACAACATTATCACATTTGAGCAAGTGGCAAAATTCTTGCCTAAGGCATGCGAATGCACACGATTCAAGAGTAATGCCACTCATCCACCTAAGCAACCTCATCTCAGTGACACTTAAGTTAATATCATGCTTCTTTTTTAATGGCCGACATTCTACACTATAAAGCATTGCAGGTCTCACCGCCATCTTATAGAATTTTCCCTTAAGTTTGAGGGGGGCTTTCCATCACACAACAAGCCAGATGTATTCCTCCACTTCAACCATCCAACTCGAATTCTACTAATAATATCCCCATCAATTTCACCATCACTCTGAACATATAGACTCAAGATATCTAAAACGTATACTCTCTTATTAACGACATGATCGCCCAAAGTCACAATCACACAATTGATCTATTACTACTAAAATTACACTCCATATATTCGATTTAGATCTATTCAAACGAAAACCTTTAGACTCTAAGGCTGACCTCCATACTTCAAGTTTTCCTTCAGCTCTCTCTCTAGTCTTATGAACAAGAAGAATATCATCAACAAAAAGCATACACCAGGGTACAACCTCTTGCAATGACTAAAGCAAAAAGATATGGGCTTAAGGTTGATCCTTGATAATGACATGAATACTTTATTACAATGTGTATGCATGTGATTATATAAATAAAAAAATCATCAATCAAAATATTCTACATAAAAAATGATAAAATATAGGGACGCTATCCATAATTCCATAATGAATGTTCTCAAATATTCAAGAATAAAGCTAAAATAAGTTTTGTAAGTTGCATGTCAGTTGTTGATCTGATAAAACTACGTTCTTTGATGACATCAGTTATTTTTTGTTCCAAACCCCTTTTAGGATTGTAGATCGGATCAACCCATAAATAGAGCAACTCTATCTAATGCGAAATAAATATGGTTCTATTCCGTAATGAATAATCTGTTTTTGAATCGCCATTTAGCAAAGAGCATCTTATAGCAAGTTTGCCTAGATTACAGAAAACATCAAAGAGAGCTTAACATTTGAACTATGCCAAAAAAGCAGAATACAGAGAACATCTACTTAAAAAATACCTGTTCTATGTAATGATCGAGAGCAATACTTTGTCCAAGTACATTACAAATTATGCGTATGCCATCCATGTCCAAACTTTTCAATGCTATATAATCTGCACCTCCATGCATCCAGGATGTCAGCTGTGGTTTCTCAACAACAGCGTAATCTACAATGAAAGAAAACTCAGAAACTAAATTTTCTTCCACTAAGGCAATATTCAGCTAACTTATAGAATGGTTTAAAAGTACATTTTTCATGACCTTGAACATCGCATATCTATGCTTATGCTACAAAGAATGAATGAAGCACAATAAGGTTCTTAAGATGATACAAAGAAACTGTCAAAATCTCAGTCATCCCTTGGCATTTGATCCCACGGTCAGGATAAGAATCCGTGGTAGGCTCACCTGGATCACGCCAATATCCTTCTATATTTGGGTAGTTGAATTAGGAAGGATTATATTGAGGCAATTATGTATCAATTAGAAGTTATTTATTTCTTTATTAAGACATCTTGTATAGATCAATAAATAGGGATAATTTTGTATAATAAGAAGAAGGTATTTTTACCCTTCTCAAATTCTATAAATTCTAACAGAAACCAATTTCTGAAGTTCTCTATTCACTTATCTATGTTAAGTAACTCCGAAAGGTCAACAGTTGGATGATTTATGAAGGAGGCTTTAGAAATTTTCACCCTCAATGTAGTATTTTCTAAACTCAACCACATTGCCACAATTGTAGCTCAGATTAATGGCGATATCAATAAACAAAACTGGCATCAACAAAAGACAATATTACAAAAACATTTTTTTATTTCTTTTCTGTTGTCAACAATGTAAAATCTTTAAATATAACAATCATTCTTTCCAAGAAAATTGAAAAACTTTGTTGATGAAGTGTAGCTGACAAGATAGTAGAAAAAATATCAAAAAACTTGGCATGTGGCAATCCGCAATCACACTTCGCATGCACACTAATTCGGTAGTAAAATGGCAAAGAATTATGGTAGTAGATGTATTTGATAATAGAATAATTTGGGAGCAGCAACTAATGTATTGTTGATGATTTTCTAACTAGGGTTTTTTTCTTGGAACTTTGGCACATCTCTTAGATTATTATAATGCTATTGAATGTTTAATGCCTTATACTTGAGCATAGAATTTTACATGCAGGAAATTTATCTTAGTGACAAATTTTAGGAGACGCAAGGTAACATTTTCTTTATATGTACACGTTAAGATCCTGATAAGTTGCTCTGGAGCAATAAAATGGTGATTTAACTCTTTAATGCTGAAATGCAAAGACAATGTTCGAAATGAGAGGTGTCATTTAAGTTTCCATTGAATTTGCACCTGCTCACTTAGTTAGGACAAGATAGTGAGTACATTTGAACTTCATGAGGTTGGGATGTACAGCAGTAAGAACCGGGGAACGGGAAGAGGGGAAGCACCAATAGGGGAGGTAAAGCTAGCAAAAAGAGTTTGAAGGAAAACGGCGGCAGATCAAAAGTAAACTAAGGGAGATTGTTCAAAAATATTTTGATCAACTAAAACTAACATCAGATGCAGCTCTCAACAGAAACTAGCAGTGAAGAATGATTAAAAAGAAGTATCAAGTAGAGCTCTAGTATAGTTTTGTTCGTGTTAATAATTAATTATTGTTATTAGAAGAGAGATTTGAAAAACTTGATCCTGGTGACTGTTTTCTTGAATCTATGCATTGCAAAGCGTGACAGTAGGACAAGTCCTACATGAAACACTGTTGAAGACAAGCTAAAGGAAATTTCTCATGGTAAATCAGAATGGATTTTAACTTTTGACGGCCTCATAGTTCTACATTTACAAATATTTCAAAACCAGCTGCAAGTGTATGCCAACTACAGTGGTAGGCTTTGTGACCTATTGTACCCCATAATTACCATTAATAACTGCATTTGATATTACTTCTAGTCGAGATAAATAATTTGAAAATTTTACTCTTTAAATTCATAATCAAAAACGGAAAACACCAAGTAAAAATATTCTAACATTCAGGTCAATTAAGGCCAAAAATTTTCACCAACTCCAAATGCTACCAAAAACATAACAGAAACAGGTTGATTACAATAGTGCTAAGAAAAGCCGGTTAAATTACAAAAAAAAAAAACATTAATATAAACATTTCAGCAACTTCAGTTTAATATTAACTGGAAAGGTAACAAATGCAATTTTTGACATTATGTCTCGCAGATAAAATAAAAAGCTGTATTTATAAACTTCTAAGAGGTTACCATCCTTTCTCATCTCAGGAAGCAATCCATGAGCATGCTTCCTAACTATATCAAGATAATGTTCAGCTTCATGATCTGCAATATTGAACAAGACAGCTGATCCGTATTGGAAAACTACAATATAGCGGCAATTATCACCATTTTCATTGATGCCAATGTCCTAAAATAAAATATCATGTCACTACCCGGGAGCTGCAGTAAACATAAAGCAGTTTGGCTTGCAAATATCATTAATTAAAACAATCATATTATCTTGCAGTAGGAACTTACAAAAGATAAAACTTCAAAAGGATAATCTTATATATTTGAATATAACTTTAAGTTGGTTAACAATTAAGGAAAAATGCAAATCAAACAGAAATTCCGAAGGCTTCTGCCACCAATACATGCATACATGGTCTTAAGTACGCATATTTAAAGCAAATGCTGCAATTAATGAGTTATTCTGTGTTGGGATATCCTAGGTAATTAATCTAAAGAATATCCTAAAGCTAAAGCTAACGAGTATACAGAGAAATGAAAACCAAAAGAAAGAAATAAATGTGACTAATTCTATAAGTGGCAAATTGCAAAAACATGAAATACAATATGTTTATGCCTAGTAAAATAACCAAAAAATGCATCATTCACTCTATAGATACAGGGAGTCATGGTTTAGTTGAGGTAGTCTAACAACATTGTATAAAAGACAGCAAATTCCCTCATACATATCTTTACCGTTTAAGGTTAAGGAACATGACCAAACATTCAAATAAATAAGACTAACCGCACAGAAGCAGACTTTCTACTTAGTAACCAACATTTCAGTAACTTGATCAATTCTCTTGGCAATTTGAAAGACCAAATGTCAATGACTAACAGTTTAATTGGACGCCAGCTAACCATCGAACAGGAACCTCATTACACTTTTGTTTTTCAAGGGCCCTCTAGTTTTAAATTAATTTGCATGAGAACCATGACTGGAAAAAGAACCGATCCAGTTAACCATAATGTAGTACTAAAAACGCAACAACAGCATCAAACAAGAAGTTAACAATGAAAAAAAAAAAAATTGCATATCCTACGAGACCACCTAAGGACTCAATTGTTTGCTTCTAATTCGAAAATAAGGTTTTACAAACAAATTTGATTAATTTCACCATCAGACTGGAATTAATCAATACCCATAATGGATTCTGGAGCTCACAATCATCCCAACATAAAGATTCACACACAAACAAATAAAAAACATGGTCACAACGAGGCCATCGGAATTTGTTGGGCTCAGGCAAGTAACAAACAGAGAGCAGCAAAGCTCCGGTGAGCTTTAGCTTCCGACCAATAGTATTGGAGCTACAACAACCTGCAGCACTCTTTTGAACATGATGAGCTGTATCGAAATATCCAATTGAACCCTCGAGCATAACCTTCCATAATAGGTCATATACCTAAGCCAGCTTCGGATAGATAACCTAAAAGGATAAAACCCGCTACAAATGCATTCTGTGAAACAAATTCGTTAGCCATTAAACTAGATCCCCCAGTGCGCTAACAAATCTTAGGTTGTCATAGATATGCTCTGGTCAGGTTCATTGGGCTGCAACAAATTTCTAGTAACTAGCAATTAGGCTCCTACAACATCAAATTGATCCTGGTAACACATTCCCCTGCAACTGCAATCAAGTTCTGTGAGCTCCAATTCTCCAATTACGTAGAATAAAAAAAAACAACAAAAAAGAAGAATTCAAAGTGCATCCATCTAAATAATAAGCTATAGGAAAGGGATAGAGGTAAATTACCAACCAATGCTCAGCTCCAATTGAGATGGGATTGAGAGAACATAGAGCTAGCCTTAAGCTTAAATCAAGATCCAATTGAACAAATTTAAACCAATCACAACCCCAGGGATTGTTCAACATCAAATGAAGTTTGCAAATCCTTGATAATGCAGGTTTCATCAAGCAAGTGACCCTAAGAAGAATCCAATTCCCATACATAGTTTAGAACTATAATACACATCCATTAGTTAAGAGAATTCCTCTGGGAAGATGAGCAGTGAGGACAAATTAAACCACCGTTATCTTATAAGTACAAAGGCCTTCATCCTAGTTTCTTGCACACTTATCACCTCATTCGATGTCTTTCAACAAATAACTCCATCTTCTCAATTATTGCTAGCCAAATTATTTTTCATACACAAAATAGATTATAAGATTTCCCATTCAACTAAAAAATACCTGAAAGCTTTGTTTATTTATTTATTTTAACCTGAAATCTTTGTTTAGATTGAAAGAAAGTGAAGGATATATAAAAAAATACAAAAAAAAAACCACTGATTATAGATTTGCAGTCATTTATTTCAGCTCTTAAAACTTTTTTCCATTTTCTTCCAGTTAGATTCCTCGTCAACTTCTACTACAAGTGTACTTGATGTTCTTAATCTATGGTATACATTAAAGACCAATTCTTTATTGTTTCACCAGAGAGACACATTAATTTTCAACTTAAAGGCAGAATGAGAGGAGATGAGGTGAAGCAAGAAAAAAAAAAAAGATAAAAGTTTCAATTGTATACTTAGGAATGATGTGGGATTGTCGAATATATCCTTGACTAGACATCTAAATTTAGGTGAACCCAATTTGGGGGCAAGTAGTGTCACTTTTATATAAGGAAAGATGTTTGGCGAGGAAATAGGGGCACCTGCCTCCACTAGCTCTAAACCGCCCTAAAGAGTCATATAATAGGATGGCCTACTCTACCCTTTTGCCCTTCTTTAATTCTCAACGCACAGACAAGTAACAAATTGATATGACATTGAGAGATGGGAAGAACCAAAGCAAAAAGTGAGTCCGACTGTATGTGGCAAGCCTCATAAATGACCATCATATGAGACATCACTAAACTGTCACTTGTGTGTTTGGGGCCTGTGAAACTATCTCCTCATTTTGAATCCTGATATTAGAGGTAAACTCTATAGAGTTATGCAATTAATATCCCTTAAAGCTTAATTTAAATGTAGATCAAGGGCCTTATATTGGGATTGGAACTTAACAAATTTTCTATATTGAAATTCAATTTTAAATTTGCTTAATTTTGAAAAAAAACTATTTTGTTGAGTTATTTAATTTATTTGACGCAAAAATTGAATGTTTATTTGTGCTTTTGGTTTATAAAAAAACTATTATTTTAATCAATTTCTAATATTATAATTAGCTATTGAGAATTAGTTTAACAGAAAGCTTGTTGTGGAGAAATTCAATTCATGAATCTTGTAATGGTTTTGACTTTTTTTACTATTACTATTATTATTGTCTTGTATGAAGTTATTATCTTACAGAGCACCCTAAATAAATATTAAGATCCACCTCTACTTTCATTTTTAGGGGAAATAAAATATGTATGAAATAAAGATCTCCTTTTGGAACCATGTCTTAATGTCAAATTCTCTTTGCACAATAGCATAGACTCCGCACCTTGAAATTTGGATGTGTCGGAATTTCCAAATTTCTGCCAGCATGGTTAATTGAAAAAAAAAATTGACTGGGTATGTTTCTTTTTACCACACAGCAACGACATGTAAACAGTAAAGCCATGCCTAAGGCTTCTTGCAAGTAAAGTATGGCGAAACATTCAAAAAATAATTATGCCCATCCAAAACCCGACTATGATTCCATTCATTTTCCTTCTGAATATACTAACGGATCATGGGCATTTGCAAAACCAAAAAAAAAAAATACTTCATCAACTAATGTTTATGAGGAAATTGCACAAAGATGGTCCTAAAGCGATGATTCTTCCCCAGATAATTAAGAAGAAGCTTGCAAAGTTGAAAATGACATAAATATTGCTTATCAATGAACAATGTGAATTTACAAAGGAGTAGATCACTGAATCTGTGATGCAAATGTCCAATAAAAAAAATACTACTTGTGAAGATCGTCCTTACTAGAGGGTAATCTGAGTAGCGCAGCGCAACATAGTTTGATGAACGAGAAGATGGAGGAATCACATAGCACGCATTTTCAGTCTGCATGCTCTTCAAATCAATACTGATAAAACAACTGAGTTAGGCACATGGTATTTATAAATGTATTAAAGGCTGCAGAGCATTACAAATATATTACCGTCCTATAAGCCCAAGAAATCAAACATTTAATTACTAATTAGAATGAGTAAAAATAATAGGCATAACAACTTTTAGTGTAGATTATGTACATAAGCAACTTTAAACACACAAAGATCCATTTTTCATTTGGCATTAGCCAAAGCCCATGAGCTGCAAGAGATGATATAAAAAATAAAAATTAAATTAAATCGTTAGTTGCACTATAAGGCCCATGCTTGAGTTAAATTGATTAGTATATATATATTTATATATATAATTTGCTAGTAAATAAAATAGTTAGCATACATGATTTAATGAAAATAATATAGTCACTGCTTTCAGTTTGAATTCAAATTTAAAATAACGTGTTAGTTAAACATGAATTAGAATAGCTGTATTCAAGTTGCATCATTTATCATATTCAATTTTAAAATAATGACAGAAATTGTTAACTTTAAAATGTATTTAAATTGAAATTCAAATTAATAATATATGATGTGATGGTTAGCCTTTAATTGTGTTTTAATTCAAATTCAGAAAAACCATGCTAAATGGCAACGATACAATGTGTCTAATGTCACTTCATGGTACATGTAAACTACTTTAGCACAGAGATAGAGATTATAAGAACAATATATCTGGTAGTCCGGTCCAGTGGACCGGTCCAGCCGGTCCACGCGGGACCGGCCGAGACACGAAACGGCGGAAATCTTCCGCCAGGGCGGAGGCCGCGCGAGCCGTTCGACTTGCGGGAGCGTTTTAGGAAGCATTTTTTAGGGTTTTGATAGGGAAATTTGAATGTAGGGACTGTTTAGGGATTTCCTTATGATTTGTATGCATTAAATAGTTGATTTTACTAGGGTTTTGAGGATCTTGAATTTGGCTGAAATTTGAGATCTCTTAGATTTAGGTTTCTTTGGGCTCTAGCGGCGTCTAGAGATTTGGGAGAGATCGATCCTCCTCTCGAATTGAAGATCAATTGTATCTTTGCTGTTTTATTAATCTACTAGTAGAAAACAAATCTTGCTTTGAGTTTTCTTTCCAGTTTCCTCTGAAATACCGCTGTTAAACTGTGTAAACAGCAGTTTTGCTGTGTTTTCCTGCTGTGGACAGCAGTCCAGTCACCGTCTCGCTGTTTTTCAGAAGATCTACTAGTGTTACCTATCAAATTGGTATCAGAGGATCGATTTGGGGACCTTAGGCGGCTGAAATCCTGATTTTTCAGCGAGCTTTTGGCTTCTGGAAGTGATTTTTTTGAAGATCCGTTGGGGAAGAAAGATGGCCGGAAAGAAGGTTGACGTCTTGGAAGGCGAAGTCGGCCAATTGAAGGAAAGATTCTTCAACTTTCAAAACCAACTCACCTCCAACAATGAAAGGTTGGAGGGGAAGTTCACTGCAATGGAGGAAATGATGAAGAAACTGCTTGAGATGAAAACCAATCCGGTGACATCGGAAGTGAGAGAGACCACCGACGGCCATGGCATGGGAGGAAATTCGAACCCCTTGCGAGGGGAGGAGAAATTCGGAGGTGGAGATCCTAGAGGAAGAGAACGACATGCCTCCTCTAGAGCCTCTTTCGAGGGAAGAGATGAGCATGGGATATGACAGAAGGTGGGCTGATTTTGGTGGGAGGAGAGAGGGATCTAATCGCCGAGGTGCTGAATTCAAAAGAATTCAACGTCGAGGGGGAGATTTTGAAAGAAGAAGGGAGGAACGTCATCGTCGAGTTGCTGAATTTGAAGGTATTCAGCGTCGAGGTGATGATGTTGAAGGGAGGAGAGGAGAGTATGAAGAGGGGTTCGAGTATAATTGTCGGAGGGACGATCGAGAAAATTGGGGAGCGCCTCCTCTGAGAGGAATGGGAGGCTATGGAGGATACCGGGGAGATCCCAAGGTGAGGAAATTGAAGATGCCCGTTTTCGAAGGAGAAGACGGTCATGGCTTGATCTATAAGGTGGAGCGATATTTTGCTGTCAATGGGTTGACAGAGGAAGAGAAATTGACAACAACGGGAATGTGCTTGGAGGGGAAAGCCTTAGCCTGGTATCAATGGCGTGACAGACGGGAGCCCATCCGGAGTTGGCGAGAGTTCAAAGAATGCTTACTAGAGCGTTTCCGAGCCGATGGGGAAGGAGACTTCTATGAGCAATTCTTTGCCCTTACCAGGAAGGCATAGTGGCAGATTACTGGGACAGGTTTGAGTATCTGGCTAGTAGGCTGGATCATATCTCGGAGTCAACCCTGGAAGGGAATTTCATGAAGGGTCTGAAACCAGAGATAAGAATAGCAGTCAGAGTGTTGGAGCTAAGGAGTCTCGACAAGGCCATGGAGTTGGCCCAGTTGGTGGAGGACCAGAAGAAGTCTGAAAGAGGGAATCGGGGAAACCATTCAGGAGGCACTTATAGGACGACAACCACTCTTCTAGCACCCAAGGGGCCTGCATCAAGCAACATTAATGAGAAAGCCAGTAGGAGGAGGGAGTGGGGAAAATTTCAAGAGGCTGACAGAGAAGGAGATGAAGGAGAAGAGGGCAAAGGGCTTGTGCTTCAGATGTGATGAGAAGTACATGCCGGGGCATAGGTGCAAGGACCGAACTCTTCAGGTTCTCCTTGTTTATGAAGACAAGGAAGACGAGGAGGGAGGTGGGAGCAGATCTGAAGCAGAGGAAAAGTTGCACCTGTATGTGGCAGAAGTCTCTCTTAACTCTGTAGTGGGATTCACTCTGAGTCACACTATGAAAGTGAAAGGAGAGATAGCTGACCGTGAGGTGGTGGTGCTAATTGATAGTGGGGCTACCCACAATTTCATTTCCACTCAGGTCGTCAACCAACTGTGAGTGAAATTGGTGGACACCGGTTGCTATGGGGTGATGATGGGTACAGGGAAGGTGGAGAAAGGCCAAAGAATTTGTAAAGGAGTGGTGTTGACCATCCAGGGGATGCAAGTAAGGGAGGACTTTCTCCCACTAGAGTTAGGAAGCACTGACGTCATCCTGGGGATGAAGTGGTTGCAAACCTTGGGGGAAACCAAGGACAATTGGGGAGCACTCACGATGGAATTAATGGTGGATGGGAGAAGGGTGGTCATAAGGGGAGATGCAGGACTATCCAAAGCCATCACATCACTTAAGACCATGGTTAGGGACGTACAAGAGGTGAGGGAAGATTATCTGGTGGGACTACACAGGCTGGATGCGATCATATTGGAAGAGGGAGGGGATGTTCCTCCTTTCGTGCAGCCCTTGGTTCAGCAATACAGTAAGGATTTTGAGTCACCTCAAGGATGACCACCTCCACCGGAACACGAGCATATCTCCACCTTGAGGACAAGGTGGATTTTTGGGAGGGGAGTATTGTTATACCGGTCCAGTGAACCGGTCCACGCGGGACCGGCCGAGACACGAAACGGCGGAAATCTTCCGCCTGGGCGGAGGCCGCGCGAGCCGTTCAGCTTGCGGGAGCGTTTTTTAGGGTTTTGATAGGGAAATTTGAATGTAGGGATTGTTTAGGGATTTCCTTTTGATTTGTATGCATTAAATAGTTGATTTTTCTAGGGTTTTGAGGATCTTGAATTTGGCTGAAATTTGAGATCTCTTAGATTTAGATTTCTTTGGGCTCTAGCGGCGTCTAGAGATTTGTGAGAGATCGATCCTCCTCTCGAATTGAGGATCAATTGTATCTTTGCTGTTTTATTCATCTACTAGTGGAATACAAATCTTGCTTTGAGTTTTCTTTCTAATTTCCTCTGAAATACCGCTGTTAAACTGCTGTAAACAGCAGTTTTGCTGTGTTTTCCTGCTGTGGACAGCAGTCCAGTCACTGTCTCGCTGTTTTTCAGAAGATCTACTAGTGTTACCTATCAAATTGGTATCAAATTAGAACTTCTGATAATTCAATTTAACATCTCTGGATAAATGCATGCTAATGGATGGTGGAATTTCATGTTACTGGCACAAATATATAAAATATTTTCAGCGCCGAATAGATGGATGCCTCGTAACATGAAAAAAGATGGTTGAGGACAAGTCAATGACCCCTGCAAGCCTAACCAAACAAACAAGCATAAATTGATTAAACAATAACAGCAACAATAATAATAATAATAATAATAGTTTAGAATGTTTTAAACACCATTTACACAAGAAAAAGGTTAACTTTGTAAGGCCCTGAATGCCCGAAGTTAGATAAGTACATACATCATTTCATTTCTTAGGGAAATATACCAAATAGTTCATTCCATACCAAAATACCCTTGCTTTTGACCACAAACTACTTTTTTAAATCCAATACGACCCAACTTGGCTCAAACATGAATTGAGCAAGGTTCAAACAAGCATTAATCAAGGTTAAGACCATATAAGAGAAAATTTTGAGCCATATTTAAACAATGTTCAAACACTATTCGAACCATGTGTTCTAATTCCAAGATAGGTTTGTACATGGTTCTAAAACCTTAGGGTACTCATATACATCTCTATAAATTCCCCAAAGCTGATCGCATTCATTATCGCTATAAAGTGCACAAATTCATGGTTAATGGGCTTGGTTTGGACTTCATAAAATGTCCTTTTGAAGTTCATCAGGATTCAAACTAATCTCATAAAACAAAAAAGATGCATTTTAATTTATAATTCTGAGTTCAGACCACCAAGCTGAAAGTTGAAGGAGAGATTAAAATTGTTAAAAGAAAAAATTCAACAAAAATGAATAATTAAAAAGCTCATTTCTGCATTTATCTTCAGTACCACATTCAAATATTGATCAGCATAAAATTCAACAATAATTGATATTATATCCTAACATTTAATATTCAACACAATAATATCAATAGCCTCAAGTTACCCAATAGTTTTCTCTACTACATCCCCAGCTCTATATGTAACCCAAGCAGTATAAAACATCTCTATAGATATGATTAGAGCAAACATTTGCATACATAACAAGACAACTCAAATGATGGTTAAAACAATAAACTCAAACCATATTCATACTATATTTCAAATAATATTCAAACAATATTCGAAGATTTAGCGAATCTTGCTATAACTTGTTTGAATAGAGCTCCAGCACTAATCAAATTTGTTCAAATATTGATTGATATATTTGTAAACCATGATTGAACCTTCTTCAATTATTGTTCGGTCCATATTAAAAAATATAAATAAGATTCAAATAAGTTTCAAACAATGTCTGATCATGACCCGAACATGTTTCAATCAAAGTCAAAATAAGTTTTGATCAAGGTTAGAAGATGGTAATCTAATGTCTAATGTCATTTTGAATTTAAGGTTCAAAGTGAGAACAACACTTATAAATCAAGATAACCAAACTCATGACATTACTAACCTTCAATAGCTAGCGAGAGACGGAGACAAAAATTTTGACTCGGAACTTTGCCATAGAGCCATTACTTGTGAACTAGGATCGTTGAAGACAAGGAAGGCGCTAAGAATGGGAAAGGTCGAGCAATTCTTGGTTGAAAGTTCAGTTATATAATGCTCGAGCATCCTTTTGAATTCTAGAGGTATATTGTTTGAAGTTTGAACACAACTTTCAGACATATATATTTTTTTTTTTTTGGAATTATGGGGCATACAAAGTAAAATTAACAGATACTATAAAATACATAAAAAAGTACTTTAAATACTCACTTAAAACCTTAAAATAAAAAAAAAAACTTTAAGCCATTTTCATCATAAACATGAACAATTATATCGTATTTTATAATCAATGCCTTCAGATAACTCAACTAGACATCAATGGATAAATGTATACTCCTAGAAAAGTGAAATTCCATTTTGATGAGAATAAAAATATTACTATCCAAATCAATCCACTGCCAAATAAAACTGATGTATCAAAGTAGAAAAAAAGAGGGGAACAAACCCAAATACCTGGTGCTTAGAAAATAAGCCTTCACCGGAATATATCTGGAGGTGCCCTCATCTTCGTGAGAGTCCCACTCACTCTTCTGTATGTGCTCGTGATGCCCGACGCCAAAACCCCCGTCATAAGAATCGGAGACAGCGGAAATTGTGGAGAATAATCTAAGAAGACGTGAGGAGAAACCATGTGTTTGGAGGCGAGGAAGAAGATCGAGAGAAGCCGAAATAGGTCGAGGAGATGGAGAGGAAGACCGCCGCGACGATGCTTTTAGCTGCCTGAACTGAGACCAAGCCCTCCATCTCCCCATCACTCTCGCTGCCTCTTTCGCGCGCCCGCCCGCCACGCTGATAGGGTAGCTTTGGAAAGCGCTTCAATTCGGAAGCCCAGTCGAAAACGGGTCGGCCAGGACCGAATTGGGCTCGAGTGGACCGACTAAACCAAACTTGACCGGCCCGGATCGTATCTACTCAGAGTTGGCTCAAATTTGACTCATTAGCTCATGAAACTCAATTCACTAGCCATTTGAGACCACCAAGGTTGTAGAGATTTACCGGTCGACCAAGCAACATGAAAGGATGAGTTGAAATGATAGTATTAAAACATCCTTGATGTGGCTTTAGTGGAGGGGAAGTTGTATCATGATGATAAGGCTCTTTTACGAGTGATATAAAATTGATCTTGTTAAAATGTTAGACTTCACGTGACCTGGTTAAGAGAATACATGAATTAGATCTAGTCTATTTTAAGAAACGTACAATAAGACCCAAAAATATTTGGTTAGAAAGTAATTAGAAATTATATTTTTTTATTATATTTAGTTTAGAATCCGACTCCTACTATAACAACATATAGTAGGATAAAGGCTTGTGTTGTTCTTATTATATTGATTTTGTGATGAAAGAACTCCATCTTGCTATGATATAGCTATTTATTGTCTAACCTCCTTTAAGACATAAGGATATGAGCTAGAACAGCTTCCATCTTATACGCACCATACTCCAAAGTAAGGCCTAAGTAGCCTTCACGATTTGGATTATACCATCCTTGACTAAGGGATTGGATGTTAACCATTGAAGAAGCGTTAGTAGTATAACGAGAAATTTTTTTTATGGATGATGTCAAATTATTGTATGCTAGAAAATTCATCGTAATAAGGAGAGAATTTTATATCTTAGCTTTGTGTGAAGATCCACATGCACACAAATAAAAGATAAAATGTAGGAGTCACCAAAGCTTATACTTGAAAAAATTCAATAAGGAAAAAAAGCACGAGGAAATCCTAGTCTAAATGATCTAATATGTACTTGAAATTACAGAAGTTCACTCTTTTCCATAATTGAAGAAAACATAATCATGAAATTGAGAGCATTTGTTTGGTCTCCTATTTGTAGAATATATACTAGCAGAAGCAATGGAGAGAGGATGATGGCAAACAAATAATTCCAGTCATATAACAATAATTGGATAATTGGGAATAGACTATGAAAGTCAAACAATAACAACTCACAATGATAGTCATGTGTGATAGCCAAACAATAAGGTGATTAGCAGTGATCAACAACGTCGAATGTCGAATAGAGCTTTAGAGTTCTTTAGATATTTGATCTCTCGTGTATATCAAGTTTAGGTCCTTTCATGTAGCGAATTGTGGTCTATTTATAATAATTTGAAAGTGGTACTATGATAAATTCAATCAAAACTCAATAATGTTATCGTATTGAATTATTTGATTATAAACTATTTATTCCGCATTTTAAGTGTGTTAAAAACATTGGAATTGAATGCTCTTGAACACGTTGGCTTCAATTTATTGAGTTACTCGATTTAACTACGGTCATGCATGAGTTCAAGATCGATTTGTTCTTTAATCAATGTCAAATTTTTCAAATATACTTCAAGTGTTCTTCATTCGAACTCATATCAAACTACTTTTGATATTGTTGGGTTCATCTTATCGAGATATTCAATTCGACTATCAGATTACTGTAATTATCATTTAGATGGCTCTAAATTTAATTATGAGAATTTTCAATACAAAGCAATGCATCAAAATTCATGATAATCAAGTGAAAATTTTTGAAGATATCAATTTTTACTAGCAATAATTTTGAATTATTTCATGAAAATTTTGTAAACATTTTTTTATTATAATTAATGCCAATATTATTTTAGGTAATGTTTAACACAACTTAATTTTATAAACCACCACTAACTTATTTCATCCAACCACTTGTGTATACATTCTTAAGCCAAATTAGCTAGAGGTTTGCTATCTATACTTTTAGTACCAAAGTAGTGATATTTCACCATTATTTAGTACATGAGATTGATGCAATGTTCCTTAAATTTCTCTCCTTAATATGTTCATTTTGACTAAAAAAATATAGCGTTTATCCCCTAAATGTTATTATGAGATGACCAACTACATATTTGAGTGCTTGATTAAGTCTTTTGGGACCTAGGCTCCGTTTGGGGTCATTTTCTTTCTATTTTTTAAAGCAATTTTCTAGTACAAAAAATTTTAAAACTTAAAATTTTTGTACTAAAAATTTAATTTAGAAAGAAGTAAGAAAACTGTCCCAAATGAAACCTTATAATTAAGATAAATTTAGTGTTGCTGCATTCTTCACTTGTGCTTTCTAACCCACAAATTTATTTAAATACAAAAATTGATGATGTAAGTTTTTTATTCATATACTCACATTGGATTGAATAATGTATGTGATGATGTATCAATGTAATTATGTTTAGTTTATGTTTATTATGTTATATTTAATAAATTTATTATTGACTCATATAAAATTATGAGTAAATTTATAATAAATTTATACATTTAAGATAACTCATAAATAAGATGAATACTAGATACGATTCCATAAAATTCACAAGATCGACAATTCGGCATAAATCTAGATGCAATAGTTTAATTAATTTTTTTTAAATTAAATTCAGTATCACGATCATCCGATATTTGCTTTCATGTAACTTATAATCGAATTAAACATCTTGATGAGAGAATTTATAGACGCTACAAATGATCAGATCCAAACCAAATGAGCCCAAATCAAGCACATGGTTTTGTTTTGAAACTTTTGAATATAAGTTGATGCACCAAATAAATGACTTCCAATTATAGCATGTTTATAATTAAATCGAGTAGTTTGACGAGGCGAATTAAACGAGCGTAGGAACACTCGATTCTAATATCGTTAAGCCATTCAAATGTTTAATAAATGATCTACGATCAAATGTATTAATATGAATTACATGATGAAGTGCTTTGATTATGACCAAATTTATAAAAAATGTCCATTAAAAAAAGTTTATAAATGAACCATCATTATCTACAAAAAGAAAGGTTAAAGAGCTCTTTTGCATTTCTGGCAATAACAATAATGAAGAGTGCTAGCAATGGAAGCCACCATCTCCATATTTATATCAAGATATAACTCTATTGTTGAAGAGTTTATAATTGTTCGCATATGGACATCTTAATTATGTAATCCCTATTAAAGGAATTAATCAATTGCTCCCAATTATAAATAATCTTATATTCTTTAACTGTGAGGAGGAAAATCTTACATCTCATATTCTATAGTGGATTATCATAATTGGGCCAGGTCCTATAATTTTTCTCCTTTTTTTTATTTTCCACATTGTTAGTCATTAGAATTGGTCAAGTTATAGGTTACTTGTTCGGCAAGACATCATATCAATATATTTTTTCATATATAGGCTTATAGGTTGCTGTACTAGATACCCCCAATTGAAAGGAATAGAAGAAAATTCATAAGAGCTCTCTTCCCCGCCTCTCTCTATCTCTCTCTCTCTTCCAAGAAGCTCAAGGAGCTTCTTCTTCCTCCCAAGAATATCAACAAACTGGTATCAAAGCCTCGTTGAGGCGATCTCGAGGAAGGAGGAAGGTAATCTTATAATCAAAAAAAGAGAGCAGACAACGAACAAAAATTGCGATCGATGTGAAGGCAAGGTGGGTTGGTTGCGTAGAGCGCAGTCTTGTGCAAAAGCATGTCCTGGGTTGGGCGGACGAAGGCCGAAAACACCTGCGGCTTGCTTGCGCGAATCAGACCCAAAGGATCGAGATCAGACACAGATTGCGAGTGTGGAAGATTCAAACTCGGCCGATGCGCAAGGAAAAGCCAGATTGGGGAGGAGGCTTGAACGGTGGGAGACACACGCGGATCACATGTGTACATTTTATAAGGGAAAGCCAAGATGGTGTGATCGAGACCAATGGGTTGCAGGCAGGCTAGTCTTGCAGGAGGGTTGGTGTTGCAGTTCGGTTGTAGACATGAGTGAAGGCAGTGCCACAAATTAACTATCGTACAATTGCAAGTGTGAAAAGGATCAGGGTGCTAGTTGCGCTCTCACGGGATCGAAAAGATTGTTTGCAAGAACAAAGGTTACGGGTGCTGGTACGCAGGGGCGAGTGCTATGAGGAGTGTGGGAAAGCGCTAAGCAAGGCACGGGCAAGGCGTTACGTGGGGGCGCGGGCAAGTGCTGTGCGGGCCATAGGTGGAGCTGGGTCAGAGCAAGTGAGCCGCTCTGCAGGCTTCGGGGTTGCAATCAAAATTAGGTGGAGCCTCAGGGTCGAGCATGAGACCGGCTAAGTTGCACGCGTAGGTGTGCACATGGGTTGCATGTGGATCTATATAGGAGTTCTTGCAAGCAGTCAAGCATGAGAGTTCGAGCTAAGTGCGGAAGACCGGAGTGGGCCTGTGAGTGGGATTGCTGTCATTTTTTGGACATGCAAGATATAAAAAGGATTGGATCCGCGTATGGGAGCAAAAGACAGGTTTCAAAGTTGCAATCAGTTGTGGATCCAGAAGCGGGGTCGGATGGTGGATTCCGTGTAGGCCGGGATCTTGGTCATGATTGCAAGTAATTAGGTCAGAAAGCACGAAGGGAGCTTGGCGGGGCGGTTGGATCCGAGCAGGCTCGAGTTCGTGAGATGCAGCTGGAGGAGATTGTCAAGTATTTTTTCCCTCATCGTTTGTAAATGTTGGACCATTATGGAGATTATTATAATTAGTCAAATTTTATGTTAGTTGTTCACAAGACATCATATCAATATCTTTTTTTTTTCTATATACAGGCTTATAGGTTGATGTAATAGACACCCTCAATTGAAAGGAATAGAAGAATTTTTTTAATAACTCTCTTCCGTGCCCCTCTCTCTCTTCCAAGAAGCTCCCAACACACCCTAAAAATTTTCAGGATCCTACAACTTTTTATATATGTATAAAATTTTTGTACAACACTATGATATTAAACTCCTATTTTGTTACAAATTTTCTAATTCACAATAATACGTAAATCAAATACGCACTTCCTAAACAAAATAAGTTAATTCAAATAAAATTTATAGTTAGAAGCTAACTTAATAAATAAATTTCTTATAAATTTGTATCGAAGGTCCGGAATCATTTCGGATTGAGGGGAGGGTATGTATACCTAATCTTTCTTTACTAACTGGGCTGACGGCGTGCTGCCACACTGAGAGGTTGGCCGAGGAGAGAAGCCATGGCGATTACGGGCGACCCAAGGGTCTTGGCCGCTCTAAACCCTTTTCCGAAGATCCCTTCTAGGCTTACGTTCGTTTCTTCTTCTTCCCTGTATTCATTGTCCTCGAAGGTCCACTTTTTCTCTTTCTATTAATTGCAAATTAGTTATTTTGCACCTGCAATTTGCTTTTAAGCGGCGATGTAGTTGTCTCTAGCATGTGGGAGTATCAGCGCTTGTACCGACGGGCTTTTGCTTTTCATGCTTCGTTTATCGATTTTGTTGATACATTTTGGTGTCCTCCGCTTATTTTCATTTTTTCAGGAAGGATTCAAAATGGAGCTGTGGAGCGATTTTCTAGCAATGATAACTCAGCTCCTGCCATAGTTACAATGATTTTAAAATTGAGGAAATTTATAGGATATAATGTTGGAGTATCACGGCGTAAATTGCATATTATATTTTTGTTTTTGTTGTATTTTTTTGGTGTATTTTGTCCTTTGAGTTCCAGATCAAATCCTTTTGAGGCATTGCTTTGGAAGGATGGAATATCGGTGTTAATGGGGAGGATGAATGCTATAGGTGGTTAGGTTAATTGAAACCTTTACTATTTGCTGAGAGGTGGAAGGTTGAGTGGTTTTATTTGTGGAGTTAAGGAAAATGTGAGGACTCGGTTTTGAGGTATTAAGGAATTGGCTGACAGCTCCTTATGGGAATTTGGGTTTATGGTTTTGTGGAAGAAGTTAAGGCTTGTGCGAAATGGTGGAGGTGAATTAGGGTTTACTTAGGGTTGAAAACCAAGAGCACATGATGTAAGGTTTCAATGTCGGAGTGAAAACTATGGCTTTTAGGGCTTCAAGGGATTGTGGTAGATTGTGTAGAGACATGGGAATGGAGAATAGAATTAGAGTTAGAGAGAGTAAAAAGAGATAACAAATCCTTATCAAAATAATCACCTAGGTTTGGTCACCGAGCTGTCTACAAGCATTCAGGGGGGGAACTCCATCTGAATTTGTCAAAATAAGAATTTCTTTAATGCATAAACAATTCTAGTTAAGCGCATTTCAGGTCAGATCAATTCATAAAAGTAGCTGACTTAAAAAAAATCAAACAGTGGGAGCTACTGACATAAGCATGGATGGATTAATTACAGGAACTCCTTAAAATATGGAGATGCGGTCTTCAAGCCTTGATTTGAGTGATGCCTTGAATTGTAAAATTTGAACATTGAATTGAGTAGATGAGGTGGCTAAGCTTAAATTCCAACCATGAGGGGCGGCAAAAGAAATCCAATCCCCTTGCCATTTAAAACATGCATGGAATTAAATCATTTCAAGGCTCATGCAAGATCATGGAACTTGGTCTGTGATTTTATCATGGGTCAATGCATTACTTGATGTTGTACATGCATCACTCTTTTTTCAGCACTTGCCATTCCCTTTGTAAGGGGATTGTGCTTGGGGTTTTAAGTTCTCGTGGTTTTCATAAAAAAATTGTTATATTCATCGCCTAGCTGTTTCTTCACCATCACTTTTAAGTTTTAAATTGCTTAACCATTAAAAAAGTAGACGTTTCCATTTTTGTATGTATTTTGCAAGAATATCTCAGGTTCATTTAAATAGGGCTTAGTGCTCTTAGGATACACCATGACAAATGAAGTGAATTTATATTAATGTTTTGTTGTGGGAAGCTTTCATTTTGGTTTCTAAATGCATTCCTATCGTAACTAGAGTGTTTTGTTAATTAAGTTTACCGTGAGCAACAAAGAAATGAACAATTAAAAACTTCTGTGTTGTTTTCATTTCATTATTAATTTCTTATTGTTTTCTTTCCAATATTTTATTACATGAAAAGTTGCTTTTAGCTCCTTAAAATATTTTGTTGATATTTTTTGTGTTCCTCTGCGTCGTTGAATTTAAAGATTTCTTTTGCTCCCTTACAAATTTTGTGTTGATCTTTTTGTGCCCCTCTATCTATCATCTTAGAAGGCTGTTTCCTGCATAAGTCCTTTGCACTTTTTACACTGTTGACTGCTACGTCCTTGCAAATTTAACAATTTTCAAACCAGGGAATTAATAACAGGATAAGAAGGCATCCTGAAAATTTATGTCTTCTCTGTGTGGTTATACCTTTTAACATACTGATGTCATGATCAGCACTCTTAACCTATTTGTATTTAGATGCATAATTTCACTTACATGCTTATAGCATTCTAGAAACTTATCTTTGGCTAATAAGTTCCATCAATTTCATTGATATGTTTCACACATTTTAGTGTACAAGTAATGTCTATTGTGTTCACTATTGTTGTAATAATCATAATGAAGCCAAACTTTGAAACTGAACCAAGCACCTTGATATAGCCAGGTAAAACTCTAGATCCCTTTTAGAGGTATACTGTGAAAGAGAAAACAAACTGAGCTGTTGTGGTTAATTGGTTGGAATTTTGGTTTTGGAGTTGTGACACTTTTTGGATACAGCGGAGTTGTCTTAGCTGTTTTCCTCTTTAAAGTTCAAAGAAGTTCTGGGTTTTTATATGGTTTTTTCATTATTTTATTTTTTTATAGGATTAATTATAGATATTTGGATGCTTTGGCTGATTCAGTCATATGGGCCTACTAATTCTGTTTTGGTTGATTTGGCCTGAGAACCGAGATACTTGAAAATTGATAGGTCGGTTCATGAACCGACCCAGCCGGCCCCACTAGGGCTGGCCCTTGTGTACAGGAGGCGGTTCAAACCACCTAAGTTATAGGGGCCCACGCCCCTATTCGGTTACTGCCCAATAATAATGGGGTCCACTATTTAAATTAACTTGAGTTGAGCTATTTTTGGCAAGGGGGTTGGGCGGCTAGGGCTAGGAGGGAATCTTTTATTAGAAAATTGAGGCTATAAAAATGCATGAGAGGGAAGGGGTAGAGCATGCATGATCATTATTTCTATTGGAGTCTTTTGGGGGTTTTGGGCTCTAGACTTATTGTCTAGAGATTGGGAGAGAACGATCCTCCTTTCGAATATAAGATCAATTGTAGCTTTGCTTTATGTTTTGTTTTTTTGTTCTATATAATATAAATTACTATTTTGAGTTGATTTTGTTGAGGATCTTGTGTAATTTCTCGCTGTTTTACCAATTTATTGTTAGGGTTGCTTTCGAACTCAAGTATTTCCGATAGGATTACTTGCGAACTCAAGTATTTCCTATCAAAAATCTAGCATCTCACTTCTAGTTACTAGAAAATACTGCTTAAAGAAATACTGTTTATAAAAGGGCATCTTGAATTTGCACATTAAAGGTGGAAGGAAGTCATTCAGGGATATATCTTCTTATATCCATGAACAAATGCATGATAGGTAACAAAGGAGAAATAAGTAAACTGGTGGAAAACAATACAATCAATATTGCCTTTGCATGCTCACGCTGACAATGGCACTTACAGGTTGTTCTGTGCTTAACCAAACTGATGAAAGTTGATAAAATATGCTTGTGGTAACCTGCTTTTTATTGGTGCAGTATTTCTGCGATTTATTACGGTAGCATAAATGCTGTTAATTAGGTACTTCGTCCTAATATGATACGATAAAATTGTGGATGGTTTTTTGTTGTTGTGGCAATCAGGATCAATACTTAAAGGTCTTATGATTATTAAGCTACAATTAAATATTACAATCATACAGTAAGGTTGTAGGGACAATGTGATGTAATACAATTCAAGAATATGTGTTGAGGCTGTGCTTTTTATATTTTTTACTATATAAGGTTTTGTGCAATAAATTATTTTTCCTTTTATTGATATAATCATAACTCTTGCTTGACTTAATAGCAAAAGTTGAGGTTGTGATCTTTCTTGCTAAACCTTCATCCTTCCTTGACCTCACAGAGGTCGAGTGGATTAAGAAGTGCTTGAGAATGCGTATTTGCCTTGCTAACTTAGGTCTATAATTCTTGCACCTTTGTTGTAAGGGAAATAATGGTGGAAGCTTGTTTGATGATTTCTGGATTACAAATTTATGGCTGGAACTCGCAAAGCAAACATAATAATGCCTTGCCTTCAGCTTTATTCTACCTAATGCAACTATATAATGTAATATTATAATATATAAAGCCACCCATGTGATAGTTAACGGTTCATAAATTAAAATAAATGTTTATCCATTTTTTGATGAAAAAAATGCCAAATGATAATTTAATAATCATCCAAATAGAAATTTCGCATATAAATTTAAAACCAAGAAAAACCACTCCGTAATAAAAAAGCCTAGATTGTTTAAATTTTTACCAAATTCTATTAGGCAGGTGGACTAATAACTAAAAAGATAGAGTAAAAGTGATCAAGGAAATAAATCACCATAGTGATAATTTAGGCTGCATCCCTTAAATTTGATGGTGATTACTTGCTCCAAATTATATCCAAGTAACACTCATGCACAAAGAGAAAGCAAAAAAACTAAAATAAACTATTATTGAAAAAAATCTCTATTGCATCCCTCTTGAACCCCGTTTTTATACTAGTAAATAACAAAAACATTATGGCAGTGACTTGCTCCCATAGATAGAGTACTAAATCATGGATAACAATTTATTAGGAAATCATGTTTTATAGGTGAGCAGATAATCTTTAAGTCACCAGAACAAGGAATTTGTATCTTCAAACCTGAAATCCTAAAGTTACGGTTGAGTCAATAACTAACCAAACTATGGAAAGTTACGGTTGAGGCAATAACTAACCAAACTATGGCCCATTTGAAAGTCCACAACAGCATTTAGTAGACACTTAATCAGGGAACCCAAACAACAACACAAAAACAACCGTAAGTAATGGCCCACCCCTAGGTAATCCATAAAGAACCAGAAATTTTATTTTTGAAAGCTAAAACCCAACAGATGGTCCACCAAATGCACAAACACAATTGATTGATCCACAATAATAATGACAATAACTGATCCATAATTGAAAGACCCAAAATTAGAATTACATTTGTTGAACTAGAGAGATAAAATGACGAACTAATCCAAAACCCATTTAATCAAGTAACCAAATATTAGCCAAATGATCCAAGGGCCTTTGATGCAAGTGGCAGGAAATTGTGTGCAAGCCCTTGGGTAGTTTCCTTCCTTTCTACTCCTTCGCTCTAAATAAATTCACTATTTTGGACAAATTTTCATTAATAAAAAATTTCCAAATATGAAATCTGGTTATATGGGATGCTCCCTTTCCTAGTGGTTCTAGATTTATGAAGAAAACCAAAAAAGAGAGGAGGGAGAGATGGTAAATGCTGCCCTTCTCTATTGTAACAAGCACACAAAGAGCAAGGGAGAGAGGGAGAGAGACTAAATGCTGAGGAGAAAAAATGTACACTCAGTTCTGGAACTTGGAGTTCTATATTTTTCATTGCATCTAAAGGTCATCTTTATAATACAAAAGGTAAATTCAAATCCCTAACTAAATGCATGAACCAAGGAAAAAATATGTCATTACAATTAGAAAGAGGTAACAATTTATTTTAGATTTTATTTAATTAATCCATAAATACAAGGATTGACCAATTCTTAAGCTTAAAATTGAGGAAAAGGATAAAAATAAGAGATAAGCGCCCAACTTTAACCCTAAGTAGTTTTGACACATCAACAAAACCGCTACTGCTTTAAACCAGTTGGCCTGAGGAGAACCAATTTTTTCCTTTATGACTAGTTGTGAATTGCTTATTTAGATTTTGGTAGCCTTTGGATTCAAATCTATTTGGATCATAGCTCCCTCTTTTACTTCATTCATTTCTGCGAATAATAATAAATGGTGTAATAATCTGTTAGACCGATCGAGTAGGGATCTACCTTGTTATCGACCTGTTACAGGAGGCGAACCTATTTCGCCTCAAACTCCCGTCAGCCATTTGAAGAAGGAAATTAAGGCTTGGCTAGGAGGGAAAATTCAAAGGATGAGTTATTTTGAGATTTTCATAATTATTGTTTGCTTTAAGTAGGTTGTTTTCCTAGGGTTGGGGAGGGGTTATTTGCTAAAATTAGATTGTTCTTAGGGTGTTTGGGCTCTAGCCGACGGCTAGAGATTTGGGAGAGTCGGAGCTTCATCTCCAATTGAAGATCCATTGTATCTTGTTTATTTTCTTCTTATATCATCAATTAAAAAGATTTTTATCTGGTTATTTCTCTTAATTCTTCTTGGGGATTGTGTTGGGGATGCTGAAGTTAAATTTCCGTCAAGGAATTAGCAAATTTATAAGAGCACTTCCTATCAAATTAGTAGCAGAGCTTTGTTCTGGGCGGAAAAATAGGACTTATTGATTTATGCTGTGTTTTGCCGCTCTGTATTGCTAATGTTTGCTATTTGAAGACTATACCCATTGTTTTTTGTCGTTTTTGTTATTTGGTGCCTAGATTTGGGTGCCCATAGCAAGAAGAAAGGTAGAAGTATTGGAGGGGAGATCGGACAATTGTAATCTAAAATTTTGGATCTCCCAACTCAATTTTTCATATTTCAAAAGTCAAATTGCAGCCGTTCATGAGAAGATCGATGAAAAATTCTCCATCCTGAAGGAGATGTTGAAGAAGTTTCTTGAGGGCCAACCCAAAATGGTGAGGGCAAGGCTTATGTTGATGATGACATATTGGGTTATTGTCTTCACCATGGTTTTTTTGTGATAAAGCTTGATACTAATGTGTTACTCGGATGCAAATTCATTTGTCTTTTTTTGTTTATAATTTCTTCAAACTGTTTAACACGTGGTGAACGGTATGCCAAGATTTTATTCATATAAACTTCTAGCTAGTAGTTTGTTAGGTCATGTCTCTGCTTATTACAGAGTGATGGGGCTGTTCATGTAAGCTTTCCTAAGTACTTCATCAATTATTTCAATCTTGGAAATTCTTCATTATTATTTATAGAATTAGATAGTTTGTACATTTCTTTGTTGTTCTTTTTCATATTTGTAGTTCCTAGTGGACCTTGATTATTTACGTTGACTTGAAACTGGTGATGCCATATTGCCATGTTTATTCAATTTGCGCCACAGAAGGTTGACTTGAGGGTATTCCCTTCTGTTCAACTGAAACATGATACTACACCTACTTGATTTGTTCATCCTTTCTTTCTTGTCCTATCTTTTGGTCTGCGCTTTAGCATGTCATTTTAGAGTTTAATTAATTAATTAATTTTATTATTATTATTATTATTATTGTTCTGGCTGATGCAACTGAACCAGCTCGCCAGCTGACCTGCTATACTCTTTAGTTTTCTCCAGCAGTTGCATGAAATTGCCAGCACTTTCCTTGTGGGAGATTTGCATGCCGGTTTGGCTAGTTTCTTACTCTCTCATGTAGTAGAATAGTCGTACTCTCTTGAACAATACAGATATGGCAGGCGTTAACAAGTGTTTCTCTTTCAAATGGTTGCCCACTTTTGATATTCCCAAAAGATAGTCTCCTTTATAAGCCGCATTGTTCTACTGCAAATAATAAATATTCATGAGGTTTCACGCACGACATGTGGTGTTGGTCAAGAAAAAATACACAACTTAGATGGAGACAAAGAAGAGTGTGGTTAGACACTTTGACTTCTCATTCTCTTTACATCACTTTCTGTCTCTTTCTATCTCTTTCTTGTTACTCAATGAGTAACATACCTTAGATTTTTTCCCTACTACATGGTTTTGTTAGACCGGTCCCTATTGGACCGGTCCAACCGGCCCCTTGCCTAGGGCTGGTTCAAAATTACAAGAGGCGGATCAAAGGTGGTCGGTCCTCTTGAATTTGCCGCCAAGACTTAGGAGTGGGGCACACTAGGAGTAATCAGGAAGCAAGAGGGAGTCACTGCTAGGGTTAGAGAGGGAGTTATGCTTTAAATAGGAGGAGATTAGGAGGATTAGGGCATACAAAAATATTGTGGCCGTTCTTGTTCTTAGAGTTGGGTGACTTGGGCTCTAGCAGCGTCTAGGGATTGGGAGAGATAGATCCTCCTTTCGAATTGAGGATCAATTGTATCTTGCTATTTTCTTCCGCTAGTTGATTATTGCTACTATTTTCTGATTTTTTCCATTGATTTGGTGGATTATTCTTGCTGTTTTTGCTTTTATTGTTAGGGTTTACTTGAAATCTTCGAGTATTTCCTAACAAGTTTCACTTGTTGTTCCATAATGAGTCAATAGATGTTGGATTCTTTTACCATTGAGCTTTGTGATCATATTACATTCAACTCCTTGCATCGCTGACCAACATCGATTTGGATCACTGAAGTCATTATTTAAATAAAATAGTGAAACGCCTTAATGAAAAAAAAAAGTCTATCCATCTCTTGTTGGTTCTTTAATTTATATCTAACCGTACACTAATGATGGCGAAATGCTTAATAATTATTATTGAATTACACCTCAGGATAGGCTTTTTTTAATCTTTTATTAAGCAACCATCTGAAAGGACAGCTGAAAATGTTGTTTCATCAGAGATAAGGTAATCACCAACAATTCATGATCCATTTTTCTTAGAACAGTGTTCTGATAGGAAACACTTGTAGATCTCGAAGTAATTCCTACAAATCTTTAGAAAACAGTGAGAATTCTCCACAAAAATCAACACAAAATTAGGAAAATAGTAGATAATTTTATTATTTGATGAAATGGAAACGGAAAGTACCAAGATACAATTGATCCTCGATTTGAGAGGATTTATCTCTCACAATTCTCTAGACGCCGCTAGAGCCCAAAAATCTAAGATAGATCTCAAATTTCAGCCAAATTCAAGATGCCCTAACCCTAGGAAAACAAACTATTTAATGCATACAATCCAAATAAAAAAATGCATACAATCCAAAAGGAAATATCTAAAGTCCCTACATTCAAATTTCCCTCCTAAACTTCTCCTACAACCTTCCTAATCTGCTCTTTTGAACTGGGCAGTTTGATTGGCCCGTATAGGAGGCGGAGAGGTTCTGCCTCTGTTCCCCATGAGCCGGTCCCGTATGGACCGGCCAGACCGGTCTAACATGCTCTCCTCAAATTTTGCATATTTGTTTGATTTCAGTTTCAGAGAGATGCATATGTTGTTCATATGTTCTACTTGATAATCATCAGCAATTCAGTACCCGTTTTTTAGGATGGTGTTCTTCACATATTCTACTCCATAATCATCAATAATTCAATATCCGTTTTTCTTAGGATATTGTTCTTCTCGTTAAATTTTCCATAATTGTTTGATTTCAGTTTTAGATGGATAAATATATTACTTATATGTTCTACTTGACATACTTACTACATAATATGCTAAAACTTCTCATTTTAAAAATTTCCTTGCAGATGCAGTTCAGTGCCTATGCAGAAGGAGCAACTAATAATTTTAAGATTAAGCACAGAAGCCAGCACGTATTATCTTTTGATCATAACAGACCACAGAGAAACTACCACTGCTATGGAATAAAGTCAGACATACCTTCAGCAACCATGAATCAGGATGCAGATGTTTTCCTCCTTAATGCTGTCAGAATGAGCTTCCTCGAGCGCTTAGCTCTGGCATGGAAGATACTATTCCCTACAACTACTGACAGGAGAAATTCAAATGCCAAGATTGCAAAACAGAGGCTCAAGATGATCCTTTTCGCAGATCGATGCGCGGTTAGTGACGAAGCGAAGCAGAAGATTGTGAGCAATATCATCAAAGCTTTGTCTGATTTCGTCGAGATAGAATCGCAGGATAAGGTTCAGCTAAGCGTTTCTACAGATATCGACCTCGGCACCATGTACTCTGTCACAGTCCCTGTCAGGCGCGTCAAACCCGGTTACCAACAGTCGGATGAAGAGTACTCTGGAATAACTGGAATTGAGTTCAAGGATAGAGGAGAAACTTCTGGATGTGTTGATGTCCAGTTTGATTTTTATGTTCCTAGTGAAAAAAAGCATCAGATACCTTAGCAACTTCTCTAAAAAAGTTTTTCTGTAAGTCCAGCTTTCTGAAACATTTTCAAACTGTTAGGTGTATATATAATCCAGGAACTTTGAGCAACTTTTGCTGGGATATCTGTAGTAGTCAGAAAAAACTAGCTTTCTGCAAGTATATTGTTCAGTTTAAGAGTTTTCTTGTTAGGTAGCCTTTGATCTTGGAATTGAGTGGCTTTTCTGAGCTAGATCAAGTTAATTGTTGGATGAGAGTTTGATTATTTGAATTTTGGTATAGATGTTTGCTTGATAATGAGATCTTTTCTTGATCGAGCTTACCGCAAATTGAACTTTTAGTGAGCAGGATTTGATAAGGGTAGTAATTTATTTCTGTTTGGAGTTCTTCTCTTGATTCTATTTGAAATTTTTACTAGGAAGCGTTTTATATCAATTATTGCTGTTTTGCCATGTTTTTCTGAATAGTCCAACGCACTTAGATCAATAAATTTCAATGAGTTTTAATGATTTAAAATTTTAATTTAAGTGAGATTTAAGTTTTGTTTGGGACAAATTTCTTACTGCTTTTTAAATCAAATTTTTAGTAAAAAAATTAAAAATTTTGTATTAAAAAGTTATTCTAAGAAGCAATAAAAAAGCCGTCTTAAACGAAATTTTAATGATCTCGATGGCTAGCTTTCACAATTATTAGAATTAAGCCAAATTCATTAAGGCATTCAAACATTTGACCAGGCTTCACAAACTATCGACGGAAGGAAAAAAAAAATCAACCAAATCAGTAAAACAAATAGGTGAATGCTAAAATTACAATCATATATTTATTGAAAAATATGCATTTTAAGTACATATTGAAACTTCTGATGTGCTTGAGAATTTTGCAACTGGAGCCAAATCAAAGCTGAGTTTCAAGAAAATTGTTAAAACCAACAAAAAGTAGTATAATGTGACCAATCTCAAAGCTAAATGACTAAAAACTTTGGCTCTCCAACAACATATTGGAATTTATCCACTGATATTGATTTGGTTTGAGGAGAAATTATTTTGTCCGGAGTCCGGATGCAATTCTATATCCGAAGACAAATCAGGTGCAACCATGTCAACAATACCGAGCCGCAATACCAAGCGAATGAGTAACGTGACACATTCTAATTGGTCTCCAGACGGCGTTCGGCATCCGCACAGAATAATTAATCTCATTTGAGACAGCTTTTTTATTATTTTCTAAAATGGTTTTTTAGTATAAAAATTTTTTGAACTAACATTTTTTTTACTAAAAAAATTACTTTAAAAAAGCAATAAAAAAGCTGTCTCAAACGAAGCCATAGTGTATCTGCTTGAATTTGCAATTAAATTAACTTTAAGAAAAAAAATAATACAGCTCACCTTTCATGCAAATGAAACTAAGAGAACTATGATGATTAAAATAATTCACTAAAATGTTTATTATCCACTAGTTCTATCATTCTATGACATAGTTGCCACCAATAGCAGCAGAGGTTGGAGGGCAAAAGGGTTTTTAGATTACAATTGGCATTGTAAGTTTGTAATAAAATAGTCAATCCAACCAGAAACAGTCGTGTTCATTTAGCCTTCAAGCATAGCCTTAGCTGCATCAATAAGTGATTTTCTTAATTCACCAGTTGCTCTACCAAGCACAGTATAGCCTTCCTTGTCTTCGATGTCAATGTCAGCTCCATGCCTAATCAGGAGGAGAGCAACCTAAAATATGACAAGAGTAGCATTTTTGATAGCAAGAAGATGAATTGAAAAAAAAAAACAATTATATCATTCAAAATTTCTTTATTTACAAAATTACTAATCTACATAAAAAAAAGAACCAACTCATGTATTTATATGTGCTATGATCAGCTTATTGCGTGTTTACTGAAATTATAAAGTATGGTTTGAAATTTTAATACGTTCTTCAAGATTTAGGTTTCGTTTGAAAAAGCTTTCTTACTGTTTCTTAAAATAATTTTTTATTACAATTTTTTTTTTTTGGTACTATAAATTTTTTTGTATTAGAAAGCTGCTTTAAGAATTAAAAAAGTCATCCCAAATGAAGCCTTAGATGCTTTTGTATCTTCATCATCCCACGAGATGCCTAAGAGATACACTGGAAAACCCAATTTGATAAGATGTGTACCACATTATGATCAATTAAACAATACCTTGAAATTCCAACTTTTACAAAATTCTGCAATGTTAATGTCATTGTATGCTACTTGTCGAATGGAGCAATTCAACATATGTAACTATAGGTCAAATTATGAAGATTTGAAAGTTAGGGAATTAAATCAAATTTATTTTTTTCGTAAGTTAAAAAAAAAGAGATAACTATTTAAAAATAAAGTTTATTGTAGGATTTATACGGTTAGTATATTTAACACTTCTAATTTAACAGGGTTCAATTATTGACAGGGGCATTGTATTGCGAGGGAAACTGATAATTATAATCATATTTGCAATGTGGAAATTGGAATGTGCCGTATATATATAGGAAGACATAAGGTATCCAAGTTTCTGAGTCCGCGCGACGAAAGATAAGATATGCATTTTGTTAATATAGTAGGCTACTATAATTATTATTATATACGACTAAATTTAATAGTTAGGTGTACAATTGATCTCGGCATTACACACTTATAATTAGCCTGAAATTGTGATTTATATAACCCTTTCATATGTAAGTTGTCATATATTATGATCATGTTATATTTTGCGATCATGTGCAAGTATATTATGTTGTACCTTGTGATAAGTATTTATACAGTCATACTTGCCTATATGTTGGTACATCTGACAATCATACTAAATTGTTTGCATATGCATGTTTTTATATATAGACAAATGTCACATAACTTGAAAGTAAAAATGCAATGATAAAAAAAGCTTGAGAATGTTTCATGCTAGGTGGCAGGTGAATAAGGCAATGCGATCCTAGTGGGAAGTGCAACCTTGATACTATATGAAGCCTACAAGTGATAGAGATAGTGTGACCTCAGGAGCCTACGGGCTATGATATGAAGTCTACGGTCGATAAAGGTAATGTGACCTCAGGAGCCTACAGGTTATGATATGAAGCCTACAGGTGATAGAGGCAATGCGACCTCAGGATCCTACAAGCTATGATATGAAGCCTATGGGTAATAGATGCGGTGCGACCTCATGTGCTTATAGGCTATAGACCTAGACCTAACCATATAGACATGACACTTTCTAAGATTGGAAAAAAGAAGTTATTTGATGAACTGAAAAATATAGGATTATATTATGATGTATGAATTATTCATTGAATACATTTATGTGATTGATGATGTTGGCAATATTTGAAATGTGATGATAATATTGGCATTATGAGGCATAGTCGAAAGTTTGGTTCAAATGAACATAGTTCTTACATGCGACATTATTTTTACCTATTAAATAATTTTATACTATGCGTATCTCCTTTTGAACAATTACATGCAGTTCTTACTTCCACTTGTTGATACATAAGTATTGTGTTTCATATACTTGAATACAACATTAGCATTGCATATCTTTCTAAGTCTTATAGCTCACCAAATTTTATTTTGGCTGTTATTACAAGAAATGGTAGGGATAAGGTGGAAATCGATTAGACTCGGGTAAATTTTAAAACTATGTTTAATTTTATGATAGCATGAGATGAGTCCTAAGCAGAGGTATGTGAATTATTATTATGAAAATACTTTTATGTGGTTAGTTGCTCTGTAATTACATACTTAAGAAGTGCATGAAAAAAATTGAATGTTTTCATATTAAGTGGCATGAAGATAGTTGATAAAGTTTATGTTATGAATTTTTAGGAATTATCTGATTTTATGTGTTGCACCCTACATTGTTTGGAAGGGGTGGCATGGGGTGTCACATACACAAACTATTTCGTTCACCTCATCCATTGCAGTCTACAATAGCAAAACTTCAAGTGAAGAGTTTTTTCAAGCCAGGAGAATCGATACAATACATCAAGCTTCATGAGATCCAAATTTGGTTAAATAATTCCATATTTATGTTGTTGCATTTATACTTTTCTTTTATTATTTGTATTTGTGATGTGTTTGGATATCATGCAATAGAACGTGCTTATCTTTTAGATAGGATTATTTTAGTCATGCTTTATTTTACAATTGGTATATTACAAGTGCTCCTTCAACCTACTTATGTTGTAATCAAAGATATATTGTATTCAACTAACTTAAAATTCCTTCAACCTATCCGCTTTTCCCAACCGAATTATCTCTCCACTTTTTAATTATTATCCCTCTTTTTCTACGCTCTCTTGATCTCTTCCTTTCTCCCTGTTTGACAGCAAACATTTATTCCTACTTCCATACCTTATCTAGTTTTCTTAAAATATTGCAGCAAAGCAAGTGCTGATGTGGACATCGACCAGAGGTTCAGACATGTGTATCGCCGTAGACAGCGCAGATCGACAGCCGCGATTCAGAGTTTATATTTCTAGTTATTTATGTATTTCTTTTATGCATTTTTCTTTTTATTTCCTATTGTACCCCTAGTATAAGCTGAGTCATGAGTGTAGCCCCGAGGGCAAAAGAGTCATTGTATTTCCTTTTATGTTGGGACCTATATATAGGTTTTATACTAAAAAGTGGCTTTAGAAAAAGTTAAGAAAGCTGTCCCACAGTCCCAAATGAAGCCTAAGTTGCATTTTGAAGAATTTGGTTTGAAATAATTTCCAACCTAACGGACCTTTAACAAAACTATTACCATCCAAAACCAAAATATCCTCACATCTAATTGGGCATCTTGATATGGCTCGAGCAAACTGGAATTCCTTCCAGATCATGTCTGGGTGATTGCATTCCATAACAATTATCCCACAACAAGGCCATTCTTTGACTATGGGTGTGCTAAGAATAATGACTTAACGAGATGTAAGGAAGCCTCAACAGTTTGATGCTTGAGCGAGAAGAACAGTGCTTGTTGATGAGGTTATTGGCTATTCAAATCCCTTCAAAAGTTAAATCTATTGATGAATGAGCCAACCATGCCCTCCCTCACTCCCTTCCTCAAAACTAGTCATTGTTCGAAAAAGCAATTTCAATAGAATCATGGCTTAATATCAAATGTTCACCATGCTCCAAAGATGAATCATCTCAAACCAAAACCAAAACCGAATGGAATGATTTCTAACTTCATCTCTAAGAGCTTCCAATGCAACTTTTTTTAATGTAATTCAAATGAGATTTTTAACGCGCAAAAGTAAAACTATAGATGCCCAACAGTAACAGCAAAACCAGAATATTTTTTAATCAAACATGTAAAAATGCATCGACTCTTAATAAGACATATTGGAGAAAAATGATTCATGTAACTAACTCTATGCAGTGGGATAAAAGTCTTAATATTATTGTTGTTATTATTGTATTGTTATTTAAAAATGCATTTTAAACTATAGATAAAAAAAGAAGAAACCTAAAAACACCTGCACTTCCCACACTACTAATTTCATTAACCAAATAAGCACAATTCATGAACAAAAACCTTACAAAAGCTATTTTGGTTGTTTGAATTTAGAAGACGTGTTAGACCGCTCCATTGGACCGGTCCACACAGGACAAGCCCGTGGGAACAGAGGCGGAAGATTTCAGCCTCTTCGGTATGTCGTTCGAATCGCAGGAGCCAAACAAGCAATTTAGGAAGGATTTTTGAGGGAGTTAGGAGGGAAATTTGAATGTAGGGACTGTTTAGGGATTTCATTTTTGATTGTATGCATTAAATAATTGTTTTCCTAGGGTTAGGGCCTCTTGAATTTGGCTGAAATTTGAAATCCCTTAGGTTTTTGGGCTTTAGCAGCGTCTAGAGATATGGGAGAGATAGATCCTCTTCTCGAATAGAGGATCAATTGTATCTTAGTATTTTCCGTTTCTATTTCATCAAATAATACAAATTATCTACTGTTTTTGTGATTTTGTGTGGATTCTTGAGGAGAATTTTTGCTGTTTTCCAAAGATTGATAGGACATTCTTGAGATCTTCAAGTTTTTCCTATCAACATGTTTTACAATAAGATAAATTTCTTAGATTCCATTCTTTGGCTGGATGTACATAGAATCAACATGACAACATGGGGTTTACACTCTACAAACACTTTCAAAATTCCTCAAAGATGATAACTTTATTTTCACTCAAAACGAATGTAAACAATATCAAATTTTCTAAAAAAAATATTTTCTAGCTACAACCAATTAAATGAGCCCTAATAGTACAGTAAATTCATTTTTTAATTATGAAAGGAATCTGCAGAAGGTCAGGCATAAACGTAGGCACTCTAGATTTATTTGAGATTTTGTTGCTCAAATTTTAGAAAGATGTGTTGTGGAAGCTGATCCTGATATATCCTCTGATTTTTGCAGTTATCGGTTAAAATCCAACCTATAAAATACTTGCAAGACCTCCATGTATTAGTACGATATATTTATGCATTCACAAATTTAAATCATATTAATCAAACTCATTTAGTAATATACAATGAACTAAAATGAAATTTAAAATCTAAAATAAGTATACTTTTTTGCTTCCACATCTGACCAAAAAAAAAAAAAAACAAGCCCTTACCTCTTTGTTGCAACATATCACTGCCTGCATGAGAGCAGTTTGCCCTGCTCTATCAACAGCATCAATGTCTGCTCCTTCCTCAATCAATAGCTCACACAGTTCCAAGTGGCCTGTACTTGCAGCCCGATGCAGAGGGGTACAACCGACCTACATATATCATAATTGGGAACTTCAATGGTATAGTTTGCATGCAAAAATAATTATAAGATTTTCAAATGTAAATGTGACACATGTAATAACTAATAAGTTAGCATGATTGTTTCCCACCTCGTCCTTTTTATTGATTTTTGCACCATGAGATATCAGAGTTTCAGCTATCTTGATCCAGCCCTTACTGGCAGTATAATGAAGGGCAGTCCGTCCACCATTATTGGTCAGATTGACATCAGCTGCTGTTTTCGTATAAGCAGTGTCAATTGTAAGTGACCAAAGCGCAGATGATGAAACACAATATTGAAAGAAAAATGCAGCAGATGAACTAATGGAAATGAGAGCTCTTTAGTTCAAAAAAATCACCATTGGTATTCAAAAGACTAACCACTACCTACGAAAACAGCAGTGGTTTCCTAATAACAAAAAATGAAGAAGTGAACATTGAACAGTTAGTGTCGTTACAGATGGAGAGCTAATGCCACAAAAAAAAAAGAAAAAAAAAACACCATGAGAGATTGCAAGGGGTGAAATGGGTTCCTTTGCAATCCCACATGAATAAGATATATTGTAAGAATCCTCCCTACATCTCTTTAGTATTTTGCAAGGACAGAAGGCATGGAAGCACACCTGAACATGCCCAGCCTAACCAACAGTCGCAAGCTTCTCTTAGCTAACTGCAAACCCTTAAGGAGATTTTCTAAAGAGGAGAATAAGTCAAATGCAAATTTCATTCTAATTTAAATGCTAATTAGGTGTATAGGATGAAAAGATAATGCATGCACTTTAAAGAGCATTCAAATGCAATCTTATGTGCAAATTGTATTAGTATGTGTATTGGACTAGTTATAGTTGCTAATAATTTCCTAGAAGCCACATACCTATAAGCAGCTCAGCGTTTGTCGTAGAACAACCTTTTATATTTCATGAATTTTACTTCTTCCAATCAGGAAATATAAAAAAAAAAGGTTTACAAAAATGGTAAAATTCAAGCTTATAGCTTCATGTTCTACATGCATCTTCTGTTGTTCTTCAGAAATTTTGGGGGTAATGTTATCATAAAGATGAATAACACTAATATCTAAAATATAATAGTATTAAACCAAAATCATTTTCATAAATTTGATACCCCATCTAAATAACTCTAAACCAAACTACTCTAACAGTTCTATTAAGTATTTTCCACTAATGTAAAGTTTGTTAATTGCAAAGGAATCTAATTCTAAAGAAAAACCTATCAAATCTGGATTTGCTTCACCATTTTACCGCATTCCCCACTGCAGGGATGGAAATCCAATTCTATAACATAAGTGATAGTTATTTTCCATCCCAACTGTAGCTCACTACATTTGTATTATTTCATAAAGTTCTAATAGCAATGGTGTCTGTCAAAACAAGCCATCAGATTGATCTTATCAATAAACTTTAAAAAGCTGCATCTTGTAATATAATAGAATGAATGGATGAAAAAATAAAATGCAAATTCATGCCTTTCTTCTATAACTTGTTCATCTTCAGCTCACCATTCTCGAGCAGTATATTAACAATTTCTCCATTGCCGCAGCTCGCAGCAGAGTGAAGTGGCGCCCATCCATCCTCATCGGTGCTATTCACAATACCGCTAGCAGGACTCACGGCTGCTAAAAAGCTAACAACCTACATCACAAAAACACCAAAGATTGAAACTTTTTAGACTCTAATCAAACGACTAGCCTCTAACTGAAAATAGAGAGAGAGAGAGAGAGAGGATTGAAGATTGACCTCGATTCGGCCGGCTGAGGCGGCAACGTGGAGAAGAGAGCGGCCGTCCTCATTGATCAGAGAAAGTGCATGCCGGAGCTCATCTTCAGAGAGGTTTCTGAAGAACGAGGCGTTGCCGCTCTCCGCGGCCTTGAAGAGATCTTCTTTCTTTGGCGCGTCGATCTCCATAGCTTGGGCCATCGACCTTCGCTCTCTCACTCTCTCCCTTTCTCCCTCTCCCTCTCCTCTCTCTCTCGGGTTTTTCAGGGTTTACCAGCGTCTCGGGGCTTGCGCATACAAACTTTTATTTGGTCCGGTCACAGGAGGCTCTATCGTTAGGCCGCCCACCGCTCATTATTTATCATGCGCCCCCGACAATCCGATCCAGAACGATCCAAAATGGGTCGGTATTTCTAGAATTTGCTAATTTTGTTCGGCAATAATCAATATCAAGCAAATATCGAGTAATACCGAGCAAATACCGAGTAATTCTGAGGAATACCGAGTTGTACCGAATTTTTCTAGAAATACCGACCCATATTGGTCTTCACATAGCGGTATTTCTCGTTATTGCTAAGCAATACCGTGCAAATACCGAACAATACCGAGCAATACCGAGTTGTATCGAGTTTTTCTAGAAAAACTCGGTACAACTCGGTATTGCTCGGTATTGATCTTCACAGAACGGTATTTCTGGTTATTGTCAAGTAATACCTAGCAATACCGAGCAATACTGAGCAAATACCGAGTAATACCTCGCAATACGCGAACATAGCATTCCCGGGTTTCGGTCCGGGTC